TCCAATTCTTTACGTTTCTGAATCTGCTTTTGTCTATGAACATTATTCATCTTTATCAAGATCCCACGCGTGAAGGCTTTACCTGCGTCCCATACATTGATAATGATGTTCCCTTATACATATTTAAAGCAAAGTAATCCTTTAAGCACTCCTTTAATTTTTGAACATTTTTTTCTTGTTTAAATAAATTCTCATTCACCCTCCAGGATCTCCTCTCCTCTTTTTCGGCAGCCAATTCCATCCAAACTGGACTATGATCCGTCAGTGACCTAGGAAAATTTTTTACATTCTTTACCCTATTATATAAGTCAGTTGTAATCAAGAAAAAATCAATCCTTGAAAAAGATTGGTGTCTATCTGAGAAGAAGGTAAAATCTCTCTCCTCTTGGTTACGTTCACGCCAATAATCCCTCAACTCCCAGTCCTCTTTCAAATCAAAAAAGGCTTTAGGTAATTTAGCCTGTTTGAAGAAAGTAGAAGAACCTTTTTTGTCCTTTTGTGTATCTAAAACACCATTCCAATCTCCCATTAATATCACAGACCGTATAGTCCAGCGAAGTTATTTTCTGATGTAACAATCTATAAAATTGTTCCTGTTGCTGGTTTGGTGCGTACAATCCCACTATAAGTATTTTCTTACCATATAGACCAAGTTCAATCATAACATATCTTCCTTGAGGATCTGATTCTACCAGGCAAGCTGGTAGACTTTGCTTAACATAAATAACCACACCCCCTTTTTTCCCAGGGGCAGGAGATGCAAAATGAGATCCCAAGCGAGCATTAGCTAAATATTTTTGATCTTTAAGTAAGATATGAGTTTCCTGCAAGCAGATAATATCATTATTATGTTGCTTTAGATAATAAAAGATTTTCTTTCTTTTCTGCGGGGAATTGAGGCCGTTAACATTCCAGGTCAGGAACTTTGCCATCTCCCTTGACCAGGAGCCTGGAGAAAACTGCCTGAAGATCTGCCACTGAAGAATGTGTTGCAGAACTCTTGGGTCTTGCTCCTCCCACCGGCATTGAAACACTCTCATGAGAAGATTCTTTAGCTTCTTTCTTCTGTTGTTCCTTTTCCTTACATTTATGTGCTGCGCGGGTCATTCTCTGCTCTTTGACCTCTGTTCATTTCCTCCCTGATTTGAGATACAGCATTTCCCATTATATCTTTAATATCTTGTGCAGACAGGCCTGGCAAGGGAGGAGAAGATGGAGGTGTAACCTTAGGTTGCAGCACTGGTGGTGTAACTTTAAGTTGTTGTTGTACAGTTGCAATTGCAGGAGAAGAAACCACCTTAGAGACTATAGAAGCTGGTTGTCTCTTTGAAGCCATTTTTTAAAAAGTCTTATTCTCTCTTTCTTTCTTCTTAAAAAAAAAGATACTAAAATCCTTAAAATTAAAAAAAAAGACCAGGGAGAGTGCAAAAAAAAGAACTTCCAAAGCGCTTTAAAAAAAAAAGGAAAAAAGAAACTTGAAAGAGAAAAGAACTGTGCTCATTTAAGTCCGTTCTTTCTTTCCGGAAAGGAAAAAAAAAAAGCACTTTCAAAATGCCATTTTACTTTCACTCTCACTCTCCACCAAAAAAAAAAACAAACAAAAGAAAAAAGAATCAGCATAAGCTAAAAGAGAAATAAAAAGAAATACAACTCTAACTCTAAGTAAAATCCTTTAAACAGTTCTGTCCGCTTTAAAAATCACTCACCAGAAAACTTTAAGCGCGGAGATGGTAGCGGCGTTTCACTTTGTTTCCGAAGAAACAAAGACAGCTGGGAGGCGGAGAAAGCACGAACTCCGAGAGAACACTCTTTCTACCCCCCCCAAAAAGAAATCCAGGGGGGGGTTAAGAGGTTCTACCTCTATTCGTGTGGTCTCTACCCCTTCCCTTCGCCCGGGAAGGGGATTTCGAGCCACGGGCCAGCTGATGCGCGCTGTGCTCCGCAGATCTGACGCCGTCCCAGGAGGACAGCTACTAAGTAGCCGCCATCATCGTCGCTGACCACCGGAAGCCCCCTTTGGGATGGTTTTAGTTGCTACCTCTTGTACAATGTTGTGAACCTCCGTCCATAGTTCTCCAGGCACTCAGTCTATCTGATCTAATTCCTTCAATCTATTTGTCACCTCTACTGTATATTCATCAGGGAAATGATTTAGTTCATACCTGAGTGGCCTAGTGTTTTTCCCTACTTTCTTTAATTTAAGCCTAAATTTTGCAACGAGAAGCTCATGATCTGAGCCACAGTCAGCTCCTGGTCTTGTTTTTTACTGACTATATCTTTCGTGGCGAACCTATGGCACATGTGCCACAGGTGGCACACAGAGCCCTCTCTGTGGACACGCGCGCTATTGCCCCAGTCCTAGTCCTTCATCTGGATTTTATAAAACCGTTTCACTTTAGGCCTCCAGCACTGTGTGCAAAAAAAAAAAAAGGTTAATCAATCAATCAATTTCAACTTCTCATGGGGAAAAGAAAAGATCTCGCAAAGTTGGAATTGATTGATTGAACTTTTTAGTCCCACCCAGTCTGCCATTAGCACCACAGCCACGCCCACCCAATAGGCCACACCCACCCAATGGGCCATGCCCACCTGGCAAATGATTATACATAAGTGGGTTTTGGTTTGCAGTTTGGGCACTCGCTCTCTAAAATCCATCTTTGGCTACAGAGCACATACTATAGTCAATCTGATTTCCGTGTTGACCGTCTGGTGATGTCCATGTGTAGAGCCGTCTCTTGGGTTGTTGGAAAAGAGTGTTTGCTACGACCATCATATTCTCTTGACAAAATTCTATCAGCCTATGTGCTGCTTCATTTTGTACTCCAAGGCCAAACTTGCCTGTTATTCCGGTTATCTTTTGGCTGCCTACTTTAGCATTCCAATCCCCCATGATGATGGAGACATCATTTTTTGGTGTTGATTCTATAAGGTGCTGTAGGCCTTCATAGAACCGGTCAATTTCATCCTCTTTAGCACCAGTGCTTGGGGCATAGACTTGGACTACTGTGATATTGAATGTTTTGCTTTGGATTCGCACTGAGATCATTCTGTCATTTTGGGGATTGTATTCCAGTATTGCTTTTCCTACTCTTTTATTGACTATGAAGGCTACTCCATTTCTTCTGAGGGATTCTTGCCCATAATAGTATACCTGATGGTCCTCTGAATTAAATTCACCCATTCCTGTCCATTTTAGTTCGCTGATTCCTAAGATGTCGCTGTTCAGTCTTGTCATCTCTTGTTTGACCACGTCCAGCTTGCTTTGATTCATGGATCTTACATTCCAGGTTCCTATGGAGAAAAAATCTTTACAGCATCGGACTTTCCTTTCACCACCAGATATATCCACAGCTGAGTGTCCTTTCGGCTTTGGCCCAGTCGCTTCACTCTTTCTGGCACTACTAGTACTAGCCCTCTGCTCTTCCCCAGTAGCATATTGGACACCTTCCGACCTGAGGGGCTCATCTTCCAGCATCATATCTTTTTGCCTTTTGGTACTGTCCATGGGGCTTTCATGGCAAAGATACTGGAGTGGGTTGCCATTTCCTTCTCCAGTGGATCACATTTTGTCAGAACTCTCTGCTATGACCTGTCCGTCTTGGGTGGCCCTGCACAGCATAGCTCATAGCTTCATTGAGTTACGTAAGCCCCTTTACCACGACAAGGCAGTAATCCATGAAGGGGTCATTTAGGATAGTCCTGTGTAAAGTGACTTATTGTCAACTTGACAAAAGACAGGGAAAACAGATTTTCTTCATCAAAGCAAATAATCAGTATGATTTGCTTCAATAAAGCCCTTTTGTTGCCTTAAAATATTCTCTTCTCTCTTACCTAGGGCACTGGAAAAGTTAGAAAAAGTGTTTGCACATTTACTGATTTCACACCATAACTTTGGATTTCAACAAGGCTAGAAGAGAGAGCTGAAGGTTTTCTCAGATGCATTGACTGTTGTTTGTTGATCTCCTAGCATGTCCTTTAGTGTTCTCCAGAAATGCTTATCAAAGCCAGATGAGGCTTCTATGTGGATGATGTGCATGTGCAAAAACCTCCTTTGGTTTTCCCAAGGAGACTTCTGCAATTCTTTGAGGGGTGCTTTGTTTTAACAAAGATATCAGGACAAAGATATTCCTTTCACAACATGATCTCCTTATTCCTAAGAGCAAAGGGAAATCATATTGCTTTAATTTACAGCCCCTGTTCAGCATCCTTGGCATTTGGGAAAGGCAGCATATTTCACAAGATAATTTAGTACATGCTATGTAAAGAAATATTTATCTTTTAAATCATCTCCTAGTTATTTTCATTGGGTGGCTTCTTGTTCCAGTATTATGAATGATGTAAAAAAATGTCACCATTTTCTTATAATTCATAATTTTATAATATCTCCTTATAAGAATCTTTTCTCTAAACTAAGTGTTGCTCCCTGATTATCTTGATTGCCTTCTGCACCTTCTCCATTTCAACAATATTCCTTTTGATAACCAGAAACATATTATCAGATGTCTGGTGGCACTATTTCCAATTAATATATGATCATTGTATTATGAGTTGATTTTTGAATGACACCAGCATGGTTTTTGCCTTCTTTAAAGCACACTGTGTAAATGATTTTATCAAACTATCTGTGGTGAACCCAAGACTCGTTTCTTGGTTGGATATGCAGTACAGGATTTTAATAATTTTTGCAGTGAATTATGAAATACATGACAGTCCCTCCTCCCACTCTTGGGAAAACCCATAATCCAATTGAACTCAAGATTTCGGCCCTGATGCTTAACATCTATGTAATATGTCTCTGTATGGTGAATAAAATAGTCTACACATGCTGTGTTGTTGCTTTTCTTCATCTGTGAAGGGAAGACTCAAAATGATTGAGAATCTAAGTTAGATATTTCTTAAGCCAAAACTTTTCATACTGGATTTTTTTAAAGTGAATCATTAAAAATATTTCTCCAAAATATGTATAAGTATGTGTTTGTTGGTTTGTTTATTTATTTTAGTGGATGATGGGACTGATATTGATCCTGCAATTCTTGCCACCATAAGAAAGCTTGGAGATGGATATTTTGGAGGAGCAAGGTGAGCATTAATGTGCATTACAAATAGCTGAGACAGTTCCTTTTTCCTATTTTTGATTATTGGGTAAAACTTTTCTGCCTAATGTTTTTTTCTGATTGGATGTTACTGTACAATCTGTATAAATGCTGGATTGTTTGTATTTACATTTGCTACTTTAGTATTCAGTATATTTTAAAATATTTTTAAGTTCCAGAAATTCAATATAAAAGAATAAATTCTTTTATTCTTTATTTTATTTTATTTATTTTTTATTTATTTATTTTATTCTAAAATTCAGAACAAATTAGGCCAGAGGTTTATACAAAGTTTGGAAGTATAAAGTAATGCAAGGAGACAAATTAGATGACTCTGCAAAGTGTAAAAATAAGATGCGATGATAATGGGCATCTTTATTTCCTGAGCACCTGGCTATGGAACAATATATATTAATATGGTTATTTATCTATCATGATTCAAGTACTTGTGAAAAAACCATTTATTTATCAATTGTTGAACAGTGTGGTACTTAGGAATCTCTTTTCAACAGTATGCATATATGTATATATTTGTGTGCCTGCATGTGTCTGTGTGCACAGATGTGTGTGTGTGTGTATGTGCGTAACAAATATGTATTCTTCCTCTTCAATCTGTTCTTTTCCAGAGTGAAGTTGGGCAAACTTTCGGACTTTCTGACCACTTCATTCTATACAAACCTAAGCTTCTTGGATCCTGATTGTGACAGCAAACTGTTTGATGATGAAAGTGAAAGCTTCTCTAGCCCTGAAAGTGGCTATGAACTAGAAGATTATGCAGACTTTTGTAATAAGGGTAATGATGTCTTTTCATTTTATTTGAGCAGTATATCCATGTATAGATATTGCAAATAGTAACCAAGAGCAATTTTGGCCACATTTGATAAACATGCCCTTTCTGGATATGTAGCCACAGTAATCATGCCTTAATGAGTATTATGACATGTTTTATGAGATGAGTGGATGAGTGTTCAGGAGCTATAGTACAGTAAGTACAAATGCATACACTGGATTGTTTTCTGATATGAGTTGGTTGACTATATTATGTTAATAAACTATCAATTTATTTCTAACTATAATTCTTTAGTTAGAATTATAACTTACAAATTCTCAAATGGTTTGGAGAAGATAATATCCCTAAGTGCCCCCCCCCCCATCTCTCAAATGAATCTGTAATCAAGATTTACTTGAAAGGATCAAGAAAGGCTTTATTAGCAGAAAGATGGACAAAGTTCTCTCTAGGATGATATCAGTGGAGGAATTTTTCTGAGGAAATCAAAGAGGTTCTTTCATTTAATTTTAAAAGAGGAATTAAAACTGTATATGAATTATACTACAATTACCTCAATTTTTTTCTATTTTAAAATATGTTTTTTCTGTTTAATTTTTTTCAAGCTTTATTAAAAATTTAAATTAAGTCCATGACAGGCCAAATGGAAATAATTTGATAGATAATATTAATAAAAAGCAAAAAGCTAAAAAAAACAATATCAGAAAATACATTTCAGCAAGTACGCTTGTGTGGTTCAAAGTTGCTTAACTTGTTTAACTGCAGAGGGACCAGATGTCTGGATATTCTAAAAAGGAATTTGGGCCTTAATGTATAGCAGAATAGTTGAAGAGGCTACTTATTTATGAAAAACCAAGGCTGGAAAAGTTATAATAATATAAAAATCTTAAATATTGAGAGTATGCACAATCACTAATTTTAACATCTTATGTATTCGTAGATTTATTGATTTATTTATTAAATTTATATACCATCAATCTCCCCCATAAGGCAACTCAAATCAGAATGCTACATAGAACAAAAGTTTTTGTCTTGCTCAAAGCAGGTACAGGTAGTCCTCGAGTTACAATGGTTCATTTAGTGACCATTTGAAGTTACAACAGCACTAAAAAAAAGTGACATGACCGTTTTTCACACTTATGACTGTTGTAGCATCCCTCTGATTAAGTAATCAAAATTTGAACACTTGACAACTGGCCCATATTTATGACAGTTGCTGTGTCCCGGGCCATTTGATTAACTTTAGTGATCTTCTGACAAGCAGAGTCAATGGGGAAGCCAGATTCACTTAACAGCTGTGTTATTAACTTAACAATTGTCGTGATTCACTTAATAACGGTGGCAAGAAAGGTTGTAATATGGGGCAAAATTCACTTAACTAATGTCTTAGCAATAGAAATTTTGGGCTCAATTCTGGTCGTAAGTCGAAGACTGTCTATATATGACAAAATATAAAGTTAATTGGGTGGAAGCATAAGTGCCTTACTTCAAACAACTTTTTAAAAAAAATTTTGACAGAAAGCCATGATGAACTGGACCAGTACATAAACAGTATGTTACAGAGTACTGCTCTGAAATCATACTTGCCTCCACTCACAAAAGGCACAGGCTCATCCTACGTGTTCAGCGCTGCTCATTCTACTAGAGAAATACTATCAATCATGGCCAAGGCTAAGGGACTGGATGTTCCAAGTAAGTTTTTATAACATTTTAAATCTATGCTATTTAACAGATTGAATGCCTGTAAATGCTGTCATCTTGCTTCTGCAAAAATCTGTCATCTCACATGAAATAAACTTATTTCAGTAAGATTACAACACATTTCCCCAAAAGATAAGGCTTTATTTTCAGGTATCTGTAGAAATAGTTAATAGAAGAGACACTATCATGATACATGCCTATTGGGAAATTTGCCCAGTTGGTCACAAAGTGTTAGAAAAAAGTAGAAATAAGAATCCAACATTTGGAGACTACTGTATTGACTGATGAATAGAGCAGGCTGTGAATCATGTTATTTTAAGCAACAAAATACATTGTGATAAAGGTGGAGGAAGAAAAGTTTCAACTAATTAAAAATTCAAAAATATTTCCTCTGATTATTTTGGCTAGAGACAGAGATTTCATGGTTAGATAAGTTCTTTATGAAGTGCTAAAATTTAAAAATAAAGGGAAAGTCAGGACAAAATTGAGCGCAAACTATAACAATTCTTGGTTCAGTATTTGGGAAATTATATGGCTCTATTAGCACACAAAACTGCCATGATTTACCACTTTGAGAAAGCCCAAAAAATGAGCCTCTAGACTTGGCCACCCCTTCCATTTCCTACTCTCTTTAGCAGTTTTTCATTCCAGATTCCTGAATTTGTTTTGCCTTGAGGAGAGAATGTGAGTTATAATACAATTTGGATAATTTAACATGTAAAATTTAAAAAGAGAACATTGGTTTAGAATTTGTGATGAACCACAGTTTCTGGTCTGGATAGCATAGTATGTTAGAATCTGTGAGAGTAAACTAAGCACATAAAAGTCCTAACCAAATCAGGACAAGAAGCAATGGATGGAAACTAATCAAGGAGAGAAGCAATCTAGAACTAAGGAGAAACTTGCTGACAGTTAGAACAATTAACCAGTGGAACAACTTGCCTCCAGAAGTGGTGAATGCTCCAACACTGAAAGTTTTTAAGAAGAGACTGGACAGCCATTTGTCTGTAATGGTATAGGGTTTCCTGCCTGAGCAGGGGGTTGGACTAGATGACCTCCAAGGTCCCTTCCAACTTTATTATTACTGTTAAATCTGTATGTGCAACTTTGTATATTCTTATATCACATATGGGCATGAAATAATGTGGACATATGTAAGTTTTCATGCATTTAGGAATTAATATTTTGGCTATTATTAAATATGCTGATACTGGAATATTCTCATGTCAATATATCTTTCTGGGTTTGAACACAAATGTTAGCATTTTTTTCTCTAGGCAGAAGAACATTGATAATCTAAATAAAAGTTACAGATTTCTATAACCAAACTTTGAATCATCCAGCCTTTTCTTTTTATGAAAATCTACTTTAGAAATGACAATATAGTCTCCTCTTTCAACAAGGCAAACTATTCCATAACAAGCCAGCTTTCTTGTAAAAGATCTTTGGAGTTTGGTTAAACTCATTTGCTTATACCGTCTAACTGATCCTCAGTATCATTTATATTTTGATTTCCATCAACATTTGGATTTGTACAGTAGCAGATCTTTAAAATGGCTTTACATTATTTTTTTCCAGATGTTTCAATGTCATTGCCTACAAAGGTTTTAAGCACTCACCGGAAATCTCTGAACCTAGTTGACTCCCCTCATCCACAAGTGGACCAAGTAAGAAGTTCTATTATTTCCTTTTGGAAAATATTGTACTTACTAGTTATATAAATTACTGTAATTCATCTATCAAAGTTGAAGATATACAACTGGAACAGAGATAGACTTTCACACAGCAGGTGTAAGTTTAAATTTAATGGCTTTAAGAAAGGATAGGAGGGGAAAATGTCTGTTTGATAAACTATTTTGTTTTGATTATATCCTTTTTCCCTGGCCCCACCCAGATGTGAGACCTAACCATATAAAAATAGTGAGGCAGCCCTTGATCCCAAAGGAAACCACTTTTGCTAGCTAGCTTTATGTGGCATTTGAGGGCCATTTTGTGGATGCATAAGTAATGGATAATAAGAATGGTCAGTCAGGATTTACTAATATGTTAAGAACTGCTATTTGATACCAGCTATTGGAATCTCTGGTAATAATATTGGAGGTTGTTAGGAATCAAATACAGACATACATCCTTTAAATTGTACATCTCTGCTATTTTAGAGCTTGTCTTTTACAACTTGTTATGTTCTTTTATGTCTTAATTGATTGCAACTTAATTGCCAATGTTATCTTCTAAAATCTAACTCTATCCTTAATTCCATAGCGTCAACATGGTATACCAGGTTTTCAGACACTTATCAGCTATAACCCATGTTGTTTTTTCAATCAGTCAAAATATATGTATAATTTATAATTTACAAGGGATTTTATCTTTTTTTTAAAAAAAGCACCAGGTCACAGATGCTTTTTAAATAAATAGAGATTAATAGAGAAACATATTAGATATCTGAGCATTATAGGAATGCTTATATATATTGCATTGCCTTGAGTGCACTCATGATGAATATTCTACCATGTATCCTTATATGTCCTCCTCTTGACTTTTGTCATTTTGTGTGCACTTTGGGGTGGTTGAATAAATTTTTATTTTATTTGGAAAATTAAGGTAAACTACATACTCTAAAAGAGTGTTTTGTATTTTGTTTTGATTAATAGGAATCTAAGACTGCTTTTCATTTGCCAAAGGATGCTCATGGTGATTTGGATTGTGAGAAATTAGTTGGGCAGCTAACAGAATGTCTTACTTTACATGACCAGGCAGATATATTATACATCTTATATCTAATAAAGTAAGTTTCCTTTTATGTTCTATTAGGCAGTTCTTAATTTATTTTTTTAAATGATGTTCCAGAAAACGAAATATTCAGCTGTATTAATTTTTATGTGAGGTTGCCATTTGTTTCTATCCTGCTTAGTTTTATATTATAACCTTGTATTTCCTGGTCCCTGAAATTCTAATCTTGAAATTCCTTTAGTATTGCTTATTTTACTTTATTTATTTTACTTAATAATGCAGGTAGTCCTTGACTTATGACTGGTTGCCTCACAAAGTTACAATGGACCTCTCCAGAGCTACTTATGATCTGTTTTTGGAGTTACAATGGCTGCATAGACACCCACAATCGCATGATCACCTGTTGGGTGCTTGGCAACCAGTTCACCTTTACCTCCATTTCCAGTATCCCGCAATCACGTGATCATGATTTGCAATGTTTTCAGTGTTTACTTTTTCAATCAGTCAAAATATATGTATAATTTATAATTTACAAAGGATTTTATCTTTTTTTTAACAATTAAAAAATGCCCCTTAGCAAAAATGGGTTCACTTAACAACTGTGGCATTTGCTTAACAATCATCGTAAAAAAACTGTTGTAACTTTGAATCCAGTCTTGTGATGCCATGACTTACAATGCAATAATTTATGACTCTTAATTCCAGGCTCAATTGTACCATACGTTGAGAACTACTTGTGCCAATAAACTCATCTGACACATTATCTGGTTTTCACTTAGTATTCCATATTCATATTGTCAAATTATTATTTTATTATCACAGACAAGCTGCCATTAGTGGAGCAGCTATTTGTTTTTACAAATTAAGCCTTTAAAGGCATAAAACTCTTTTCATGCAAAAGTCTTTTGAGCAAGAATTTTTTTAAAAATGCATAAATGCTTGTTTAATTTTGAATTGGTAGAGATCGCCCTTATTTAGCAACTGCCTTGGATAGCAACTGTTTGCAAATACAGTGGTGATAAATAGTAATAAAAATCCTTTTTTGACCAATAAGCACACATCTACAGTATCGGAAGCTTTCAGTGTGAAACTAAGAAACTATGGGCTGGTGGGAAGATTCTAATCAACTAATTAAGGTTACAGAGTGAGGTTGTTAACTTGCTCTTAGCACTTTTTAGGGACATGGTATAATACAGAAGAGAAACAACTCTGGAAAATATAGTTTGTTTAAGCAATCTCTCCACCCTGTGAAGCAAAACAAAAGAGAGGGGGATGGATCAGGCACAGAACATCGTACAGGTACATTGACTTACAACCACAATTGAGCCCAAATTTTCTATTGCTAAATGAGACAGTTGTTAAGTAAATTTTGCCCCATTTTACAACTTTTCTTGCCATAGTTAAATAAATCAATTCAGTTGTGAAGTTAGTAATACAGTTGCTAAGTGAATCTGGCTTCCCCGTTGACTTTGCTTGTGAGGTTACAACAGGTGATCACAGGATCCAGAACATTGCAACCATGATAAATATGAGTCAGTTGCCAAGAGTCTGAAGTTTGATCATGTGACCATGGGGATCTGCAGTGGTCATAAGTATGAAAATGGCCCTAAGTCACTTTTTAGTGCCATTGTCACTAAATGAACTGTTGTAAGTCGAGGACTATCTGTACAAGAGTATTTGAATAACACAGCAGCAACCAGTGATCTTTCTCCCTCTCCCTCTCCCCCCCCTCTCTGTGTGTACCTATGAGCCTGTCTCTATCTCTCTCTGTCATGGGATTCAAATAGCAATTGTGTTGATTACCATCCATTTTCCCAGAACCAATTCAGTAAACAAGGACCACCTGTAATTCTGTAACCTTAAATCAAGAACTGCTTTGAAGACTGGAACTTTTACTAACTTCTGGCAATTCACTTAGGACTGATATACATACAACCCATGGCATGCATGTCCAACCCTTGGCCTGCAGGCTGCATGTGGCCCTGGACAGCTAGTAATGTGGCCTCCCAAGATCATAAACTTTTAACATTATTTGATTTATATACCTTAACTATATGATATATTTTATATGTGATTCAAGACAATTCCTTTTCACTCAGTGCAGCCCACACAAACCAAAAGGTTGGACACCCATGACTTACAACATCCCCTTTCCCTTTTAAAAAAATAAATAAGAACATATAACCACTATGATACTTTTTGTTTTGTAAGAGGTCTTGATTGGGAAACACATCTCTATGGCCAGTGTGGAGTGACAGTTCATTGCCTCCTCAATGAATTGTACAGCAAAGCAGGCATAAACCAAGAATGGGGGCTCATCCGCTACATTTCTGGCATATTGAAAAAAAAAGTTGAAGTTCTGGCTGAGGTATGGATCAAATACATTGTTTCCATTTCAGTTTCTCTCAACCTTGAAGAGCATTTTTTTTTAAAAAAATGCCCCTGTAGCATGCACTCAAGCCCTACAGAGAATTCCTGTTCAAATGGCCAGAAGTAGTTATTTACCTGGGAAGATATTAGAAAAAATATCTAGAAATAAATAAAGTTATAACTAGTAGCTAGCATGGGTTTGTTAAAAACAATTCATGCCAAACCAATCTTATTTCATTCCTTGACAGAGTGACTATATTGGTAGACCAGCGAAATGCTGTGGACATAGTATACTTAGACTTCAGCAAGGCATTTGACTAAGTAGACCACAACCTACTTCTTGGTGAAATAGAAAAATGTGGGATAGACAGCATCACCACCAGATAGATTTGTAACTGGTTGACAAACTGTACTCAATGAGTCATCCTTAACTGTACTACAGCTATATGGAGGGAAGTAAGCAGTGGGGTAGCACAAGGTTCTGTCTTAGGCTCAGTACTCCTCAATATCTTCATAAATGACTTAGATGAGGGAATAGAAGGGAAACTCATCAATTCTGCAGATGACACTAAGCTGGCAGGAATAGCCAACACCCCAGAAGACAAGCTCAGGATCCAAAAAGATCTTGAAAGGCTTGAACAATGGACCCTATCCAACAACATAACATTTAATGTGGAGAAAAGCAAGGCTTTACATCTGTATAAACAGAGGCATAGAATCAAAATCATGTGAAGTATTAGTACTGCTTTATAAATCCTTAGTAAGACCACACCTGGAATACTGCATCCAGTTTTGGTCACCACATTACAAAAAAGATGATGAGACTTTGGAAAAAGTGCAAAGAAGAGCAACTAAGATGATTAAGGGCCTGGAGACAAAAACTTGAAGAATGGTTGCAGGAATTGTGTATGGCCAGTCTAGAGAAAAAAAGGACTAAGGGTGACATGATAGCAGTATTATGAATAGCACTCTAAATGCTGCTTATGCCAGCAGGTTCTATAATGCTTGCTTCTGACTTGCAAGGGGGCAGGCAAGCATGTTCTTCTGCATCCTTCTCCAGCAAGTCTAACTGGATGAAGAACATAAACCCTTGATACCTTTGCTGGACCTCCCTATGAAACATTGAGAGATAATCTTGTTGTTTTTCTATCTCCGATGCAAAGATAGAAGAATATGGACTTGGTCTTCATATTAAATTAGTGATATGGAATGACTAAATTAATTTTTCAAAATTTAAGTGTAATGCAATTGCTACTACATATTTAATAACTTGAATCTTCTTTTTCCTTTGTTGTGTGCCAGGCCTGTACAGATCTTTTATCCCACCAGAAGCAACTTACAGTTGGCCTCCCACCTGAGCCCCGTGAAAAAACAATTATAGCGTATGTGAACCTCTCCATCTTAAATCAATGTCTTATTTTTCATACTTCTTGACAGCTATATTATAGGATTGTCTAGAAAGTATTTTAGTAGTAAAAGTATTAATTTAGGAAGCATGATTCATGTCTGAGATCATACAGGATTTTAGCCAAGTTGTTAAATATATAATAGCAAAAAATTGTCCTTTTCATTAGCAGCACCACTGTTGTGGCTTGATAGTCAAGAAAAAGCTTGAAAGAATGGAACCATTTTTTCCCAATTACATGTAACTGAATACAAAATCAATTCTAGAAAAGGAGGATTTTTTCAATGTATTCTACAGTTTCAGATTTATTAACTGTCCTGGGAATCAGGAACAACTATGAGTTCAAAACAGGTAAGTTAGTCATTTGGTAGAGATAGGGAAAGATTCTCATTCTGTAAGTTTACTTTTCTCCAGTCTTAGGCTGCATAAAGGCAGGCTTTCTTTTACAAGTCATTTAGAGGGCAAAAAAGATTAAAACCAAGCAACACAGCCTGCTAGACTTCTAGCCATCTAATAAAAATTGCAATCTGATAATTTGGAAGAGTAATTTATAAGGCTAAGGTACTGAAAAGTCTTCTTGAAAAATATCCATAGAGTTACTGACAGAGTTCTGCTTATGCCTTTAATAAATTCAATTTCCATAGACCTTTGCCTCCTGAAAAGCTGATCAAACTAATATACGAAGCCAGTGGCCAGGATATCAGCATTGCAGTCCTTACACAGGTAACATGAACAAAAAGCCTTGCTAATGTTTTTGAATACATTATTTTATTATTGCCATTGTGTGGATAGAGATCTCTAAAATGAATTCCACTTCTCTTCCCCAATCCTGGCAGGAAATTATAGTGTACCTGGCCATGTATGTCCGGTCACAACCTAATCTCTTTGCAGAAATGCTCAGACTCCGCATTGGGCTCATTATTCAAGTGATGGCAACAGAACTTGCTCGCAGCTTGAATTGTTCAGGTAAGGCTACTTTCCTATTACTCTGGAATCAAAGAAGGGATTCTAAGTATATTTCAGAGGTGGATGACAATAGCAGATTTGCATATAATAAGTATAGTGGAAAGGAGTCAAAAATGGAGGAAATAGATAGAGAACTTCCAGAGAAAGTAGGAGAAGATGATGGGTAAAGGACAATAGAAAGTATATTAAGGGAGTAATACACTCATAGGTAATACTTTTTTATTTTATTTTTTTGCAATAAACCTTTTATTGTTTTATCAATGTATAAAGTACAAAATAAAAATAAAAATAGGAAATTAAGGGAAGAAAAAAGAAGGGAAAGAAAATGTGTGGTACAAGGGAAGAAAGAAAAAGGCATTGACTTCCGACTCTTTTTAGCACAACCTCAACTTTTACCACATTAGTATATAACTAGCCATTTCTATAACAACAAATCTAATAGGCAAAACCAAAGTTAAAGTTTCATTTTTTTATCAGAAGCACAAAATCCAGAAGTGATATCCAAATAAAAAGCATAAATATATTCTCTTCTTTGCATAGAATAGCGGTTCTCAACCTATGGGTCGCGACCCCATTTGGGGTCGATCGACCATTTTTCGGGGGTCACCAAAGGTGGCGATCCGCCATTTTCTTCTCTCAGGGGGCAGCGCCACGCAGGCGCGCCACGCATGGGGGGCGCCGCGCATGCGCGCCGCACATGGGGCCACCGCCGCGCATGCACACCACGCATGGGGCCCCGCGCATGCGTGCCACGCATGGGGGCGGTGCCCCCATGTGCGCGCTGCCACGCATGCGCATAACATTTGTGTGACAGGGGTCGCCGTCACACAAACGTTGAGAACCACTGGCATAGAACAACCAATTTAACCATTTCTGCTTTATCTTCTTTGCTGTTGAAATAATATGTATTTCTATTTGCACTTAATAATATTTATAAATTATCACCATTTATATTAACAAAATCCATGGTATTCTTTCAGATTATTTAACCTTAAAGGGAAAATATTTTTTTATCCAGTTTTAAACACTAAGCTTTTTTAAAAAAACATTTCTAAAATTAAAACATTCTCATGCATCTTTTTTTAAAACTTCCTCTTGGCATACATATTTTAAAGTTTACTTTCAAACCAATAAAATTCCAGCTACAATTAACTCATTAAATTTAGATCACTCCTTCTAAGTTACCCTCATAGAATAATTTTTCTTCTTGTATACATCCTTTTTAAAGGTCTAGATTTTTCTTTAAGCTAATATATCTTTTTCTTTAACTTTTTCTTAACATATTTTCAAATACACTTTCAATAATATTTTACAAACTTTAGGAATTACTTAAGCCTTATATATAAAGAAAAAATACATTTTCAAATTTTAGATTAAGACTTTCAATTACAAATATCAAACCGATGGAAATCCATCCTAATTCTAATTGACTCATTAAGTTTAAGTCACTCCTTCCAGTTTGTCTTCATGGGATAAAATCTTTTTCTTCTCTGGAATATTTGTCAAGTACTTATAAGCTTTTGTTTTTCTCAAGGATTTCTCAACCTTGTTAATATCTATAAGGAGAAGGTTATTTTAAAATTTGTCCTTTTAAAAGTTGCAAATTTTCTTGGAGCTCTTCTTTCAATTGTGTTGGGAATCTTCTATTTAGCCATCATAATAAAAACTGGTGTCAGGTTTATATTCCAAAATTACAGTTGACTCCTCTGCATTGTCAGCTATTTGTGAAATTGCCTCAGTGGTTTGGTGATTTTCTACACATATTTTCATCTCTGAAGTAGTTTTGAATAGTCTTTTTAAAATCCTTGGAACGTAGCTGATCAGTAAACTGATATATTTTATTTAAAGATTTTTCAAATACATCTCTAATAATTTGCTCCTCTATTTTCTTAACTCCTTCTTTAGTCAAAGAGTAGCTTTTGTAAGTTACTTAAGAATTGCTGGCCAATTAGGAATCATAAAAATTGGAGAGTTTTGGTTTCAGTCATCCACAGCAGATCAAGCTACAAATTACTAAAAAGAATAAACTAAAACCCAATTTTCTGCCCTTATATTTCCTCATCAATTTTTTTAAAAGATAATTCACACTTCCTTAGTTTAGCTTGCCTAAGCAGCCGTGTTCCTTGTTGTTTAACGAGAAGAAATCCCCAAAATGGCGCAGATCTTCAAAAAGAAATCTTTTAGCTTAATAAAGATTAATAGTCCTTAAAAATTAAGAAATGAAATGTACAACATGCTATCTGTTTGAAAAATAAATTCCAAAACTGTTGCTTCTTCAACCATGAACTGATTGCAACCCTACCCCCAACTTTAGGCACACAACCTACTTCAAAGCGCAGCTCCAGAAGCTACTTGCAGACCTGTTGCTTTATTGGAGGCTCTTGAGGGATAATTCTAAATAATTCTTTCTCTAACCCAGGAGAGCCATATAAACTAAAAGAATGCTAATTCCTTCTGTTAATAGTTGAAGCAGCTACATTCCTGGGAAAATCCCCTCAGGGATCTATTCAGTTGGCCATCTTCACCGGAAGTTCATTTTTTTATTTTTGTTAACTTACACTGTTAATTGACAAGATATTTTTGGGATCCCTTGATACTGCCTGTTCTTGCCTTCTGAGCATTTGACCCAATGGTGATTACAATTTCCCCTGTTAATTTTCTCTGTTCCTTCTTCAAAGAATATAATTTCAAGCAAGTTATAAAATCTGACGTTTCTATTGCTTGGATTTATATTTGCCTTTATAGTGGTTATTTTTCTGAGCAAATAAATAAATGACCTAGTATAACATGGAGCACAGATATATAATGGCTAGAGTTATAATAAAGGCAGTGGTCTTAATGTAATTATTACATAGATTAAAAACAATCCAGTAATTATATAATAACTGTTACAGAACTTAAAGTCTTTCATCTGGATAATATGGCTTCTTTTTCAATATCAGGTTGAGTTTGCAACTAAATGCATTAATGGATTGCATTGAAATTCCAAGGAGATAAGACCTCATATACCATAGAGAGGATTTACCATGCACAGGATTACAAGCTCAATTATTTTTTCCTGCAGAATCTTTGCAACCAGATGTTCTTTTTCACAAGCTACAGCTTCTCTAATTCCCAGATAACAAAGCATAACTAGAAATAATTTGTAATCCATACACAAGAGAGCACCAGTTTGAAGAAAGATATTCTACCTGTTGTGTCTATGTCTCATATTTTACTGTGGAAAAAAAAAGAAAAATCCATTGGCTTGCTACTTGTCCCTCTATCTCACAGCTTCTCATGTGCTTGACAAGACTGCAACAGATTTTCTAATAAAACAGTCAAGTTAAATAGTTTTCATTGGGATTTCTGTGGTTGATACCATATGCTCCAAATTCCATTTTCAGAAATAGTCCAAGTAAAGCTTCAGTACAGGAAATATTTTGTTATATACAGTGAGAGAAAAAATTATTTGATCCCCTGCTGATTTTGTACATTTGCCCACTGACAATGAAATGATCAGTTTATAATTTTAATGGTAGGTTTATTCTGAGAGACAGAACAAAAACAAAAAAATCCAGAAAAATGCATTTCAAAAAAGTTATAAATTGATTTGCATTTTAATGAGTAAAATAAGTATTCAATCCCCTATCAATCAGCAAGATTTTTGGCTCCCAGATGTCTTTTATACTGGTAACGAGCTGAGCTAATCTCAGCTTGTTACCTGTATAAAAGACATCTGTCCACAGAAGCAATCGTCAATCAGATTCCAAACTCTCCATGATAGCCAAGACCAAAGAGCTGTCCAAGGATGTCAGGGACAAGATTGTAGACCTACACAAGCCTGGAATGGGCTACAAGACTATTGCTTGGTGAGAAGGTGACAACAGTTGGTGCGATTATTTCCAAATGGAAGAAACACAAAATAACTGTCAGTCTCCCTCAGTCTGGGGTCCATGCAAGATCTCACCTCATGTTTCAATCTCACCTCAGTTTCAATGATCATGAGAACGGTGAGGAATCAGCCCAGAACTACATGGCAGGATCTTGTCAATGATCTCAAGGCATCTGGGACCATAGTCACCAAGAAAACAATTGGCAACACACTATGCCATGAAGGACTGAAATCCTGTAGCGCCCACAAGTTCCCCCTGCTCAAGAAAGCACATGTACAGATCCGTGTGAAGTTTGCCAGTGAACATCTGAATGATTTAGAGGAGAACTGGGTGAAAGTGTTGTGGTTGGATGAGTCCAAAATTGAGCTCTTTGGCATCAACTCACCTTGCCGTGTTTGGAGAAGGAGGAATGCTGCCTGTGACCTCAAGAACACCATCTCCACTGTCAAACATGGAGGTGGAAATATTATGCTTTCAGGTGTTTTTCTGCTAAGGGGACAGGACAACCTCACTGCATCAAAAGAACGATAGATGGGCCATGTAACATCAAATCTTGGGTGAGAACCTCCTTCCCTCAGCCAAGGCATTGAAAATAGGTCATGGATGACTCAAAACACACGGCCAAGGCAACAAAGGAGTGGCTCAAGAAAAAGCACATTAAGATCCTGGAGCGGCCTAGCCAGTCTCTAGGCCTTAATCCCATACAAAATCTGTGGAGGGAGCTGAAGATTCGAGCTGCCAAACGTTGGCCTCAAAACCTTAATGACCTGGAGAGAATCTGCAAAGGGGAGTGGGACAGAATCCCTCCTGAGATGTGTGCAAATCTGGTGGCCAACTACAAGAAACATCTGACCTCTGTGATTGCCAACAAGGGTTTTGCCACCAAGTACTAAGTCATGTTTGTGAAGGGGTCAAATACTTATTTCACTCATTAAAATGCAAATACATTTATAACTTTTTTAAAAGCGTTCTTCTGGATTTTTTTGTTGTTATTCTGTCACTATTAAAATAAAGCTACCATTAAAATTATAGACTGATAATTTTGTTGTCAGTGGGCAAAGTACAAAATCAGCAGAGGATCAAATAATTTTTTCCTCACTGTAGCTAAATAAAAGGCTAAGCTCTAGGTGTCAAAAGTGAAATACTCTTTTGAGATATAGGTTTGAGCCAGGGGAGGGGGAAAAGTAGTACTTTATTTTATGGGCACAACATGATATTTTTTGATGATGGAATTATAGGTAGGATAACAATGAGAAAAAATGTTAAAATTATCTTCCTGAAAACAATTGCACTAGCTATTTATTTTTACATGATAAGGAACTGACTGCAATGTTCATCATACTTTTACTAAGCTGAGCAATAACTTTATCCCTGCAAAATGAATGCTCTTGAGAATATGTTTTCATTCATTTTACTTGCCCTTGAAATTTAGGGTCTTATTTTTTCCCCCTACAGGTGAAGAAGCCTCTGAAAGTTTAATGAATCTGAGTCCCTTTGATATGAAAAATCTCCTTCATCATATTCTCAGTGGAAAAGAATTTGGAGTCGAAAGGAGCAGTAATATATGCACATATATATATATACACACACACACACATACATATATGTGTAGCATTCTTATTTTCTTATTTTAAAAATCCTCTTTTGTGTATTTGAAGAGTTTTTTGGTATCTTTCCCTTTTCTTCTCCATCCTCAGTGCGTCCCCTTGATTCTTCTACATCCAGCCCTGCTATATCTATCCATGAAGTAGGTCACACTGGAGCAACAAAGACAGAAAGAAGTGGCATTACGAGGCTGAAGAGTGAGATGAAGCAGGTGAACACACGTTTCCTTTTTGCTTAGCTTTAGGCAAGAGCAATACCACTTAGACTTATGTACAGCTTCATGGTGCTTTACAGCCCTCTCTAAGCTGTTTACAGAGTTGGCATATTGCCAATAATCTGGGTCCTCATTTTACCGACCTTGGAAGGATGGAAGGCTGAGTCAACCTTCAGCCAGTCAGGATTGACACTCCAGGGCTTTGGGCAGCATTAGCCTGCAAATACTGCATTCTAAACCACTGCACCACCACGGCTCTCTTTAAGCATCTTAAGACAGAAAACTATTACTTTATGGTGGCTACAACCCATCAGTAACTTTGACCTAAGCACTTCTTAATTTTTGTATATATCTTTCCTGGGTGCCCAGGATTGTATATTAGTTTCTGCATCCACCAGGGATTTGGAACTACACCAACATTGTCATATGTCATTATTTTTTATATATTTTAATTTATTATTATATCCCATGTTTATTATTTTTATAAATAACTCAAAGGGGTGAACATACCTCATGCTCTTTCCTCTTCCTATTTCCCCCACCACAACAACCCTGTGAAGTGAATTTGAGAGAAAGTGACTGGCCAACAGTCACCCAGCCAGCTTTCAACAGTTTTCTGGTTTCTAGGCTGGTACCTTAATCACTAGGCCAAATTTATTTACCCAAAGACTTGTTAAATGAGTGTATGAAAAATTGAAATAGTGATAATGATGATATAAGAATGCCACTGTTGATCACAGTCTCTTCAGGCTGATGGGCTTTCTGGAGCAATGCTTAATATTGCATGAGCAACTGAAAAAGGGAAGTTTACCCTTTATCATTATTTTACAAACACTTTGTAAAAGAAAAATACTTGTGATATCTCTGAAATGATATTTGTAACTTGCAGGTTGCACTTATTGTACTACCCTTATTCATAATTATAGACTATTTAATGTTTATACCATTATTAATATAACTATTGACAATGGTTTTTTCCCCTTTTTCTAGAAACATAGGAGACTAAGTAGTAATGAACAGGTGAAATGAACCATCATCTCTCTATGCACATGAGGCTGTTAAATCTGCATGCTGTTCTGTGGTATCGCTCAACTGCATTTGCAGATGCATGTGATAAAATATTAAAAATTATTAGTAAAATTACTAATACATGATTATGAGGCACATGTGTAATTTGAAGCTTTTATGGGCTTGCTCTGCTTATGTGGGCTACAGACTGTTTCCAGATTCACTAATTCAAGGCTGTTTTCTTGAATCTATAATATTTTTGTAATTTGTTACTGTAGCATAGCAGCACTTATCATTCTATAGTAGCAATTTTCTCAGTGCCATTTCACTATGTTTGCACATTTCAATATGAAAAGGGTAAAGATGACTAGAAAAACGTGTATGATTTAGGGCCAATTAACAAGCCAGGACTATCAAGAATTCCTTTTGTCTTTTGACTCTTTGAGAAGTAGAGATTCAGCCACCCAGAGCTCTTGAAGTTTCTGTATTTGCTATATCTTTTTACTATTTCTTTCCCGACCGGAAAGTGATAGTGGAAATAAATACGATTTAACAACTTTTTTTTTACACTGTTTAGAACCGCTGTCTCAATTATTAGACATACCCCCACCAAGGGAATAAAGAAAGTTGTCTTTGGGGCTATCTTGCTCAATAGTATTATCTACACTGACTGGCAGATTTCAAACAAGGTCTAACCAGTCTTACCCAGAGAACTTCAAGAATTGAATCTGACATTTCTTGGCATATTCTGTCTTTGAACTAAAGGTAGTCCTAAGCTTACAACCACAACTAAGCCACAACTGAGCTTATCAAAAATTGATAAGTATAGTTGTTAAGTGAGTTTTGCCCCATTTTACAATCTTTCTTGCCACAGCAGTTAAGTGAATCACTGCAGCTATTAAATTAGTAGCATGATTGAATCTGGCTTCCCCATTGTCTTTTCTTGTCAGAAAGTTGCAAAAGGTGGTCACATGACCCCAGGACTCTGCAATCATCAAAAGTATGAACCAATTGCCAAGCATCTAGATTTTGATCACATGACCATGGAGATGCTGCAACAGTCATAAGCGTGAAAAGCAGTCATAAGTAACTTTTTTCAGTGAAGTTATAACTTTGAATGGCCACTATGAGTTGAGGATATTTTTTCCTACATACAAGTCCAATTATTTAGAAATGATTTACCTGAACCTAATCATGATTAGGAATTATTTTTCCTATAACACTATTACCAGATGTTTACGTAATGCTCTTTTTTAAAAAAAAAATCTCAAAATGTATGTGGCCATACATGTATATTCCACTTCTCTGTAATGTGAGTATATTAACTGTTTACTGTGAAATAATTTTCATTAGAAGTCTTCCATTACAGGTATTATTGGATTACAGTATAAACTGATTAGTGGGATGGGGTGGTTGTAAAAGAATGACTTTCTGAAAGTCAGGACACTTAACAGGAGTACAACAGATCCAAGTTTAGAATTTTGACGTTTTACTTAGATTTATCTTCATTTTAAAAGAATTTTTACTTGTGTACTTCCCAGGTTATTGGGAGTCGAGTGATATATAAATTTTAATAATAATAAATAATGACTTAGGGAAGAATGGTGAAAACTTATATAGTGAATATATCTTTTGCTTTAAATTTATATAAGCTTTAGTCTTTAAAGAATACATAGTGCTTCTTTCATCGTTCACCATGGGATGCCCCCCCAAATCCCAAAACCGGATTTTTAAGGATGGAACTCATACTTATCTAATCACAGCCTTCGAAAGCCAGAACAGACCCTATGAAGCAATTGCTGCCTTTGCCAGAATGATATAGAAAAGGGGCAATTGTGATTCTGCTTTCATCTGTTTGACCCTCCCATTTCCTGAATGCAGATACCACTGCTTTGCAGCAAATTGGTGGTTTGTTAATATATTTGTGTCCTGGCCTTTTTTCCAAAAATTAGAAATAGTATTTTAGATTTGGAATCAACTTCTATGCCAGTTTGATAGACTTTCTCAAATCTCTCTTCAGGAATCTAGTCTTTCCATTTTGCATTTAGCAATGAGTAGCTTAGAACCTCAGCAAGGAGAACATGCAAAACTAGAGTTAAAATATGGAGCAAATGAATTCCTCTCTGTGGTTCTGTGAATTTAAAATTCATGAAAAAAGATGTACTGAATTGGTATTTGCAGAGAAAGAAGAGAAAGCGGCTTCTCAGAAATGATTTACTTTTTTATATTGTTGCACTCCTAGAAGATTCATATGATTTACAACATGGATAAAACAACACCACACACACACACACACACACAGACACACACGAATAATTTTATTTAACCCTTGCATTTTCAGCAAAGTGATCCATTAACTTCAATTTTTGCAGTAATCTGGTCTTTGACATTGCATTTGCATGCATCTTCTTGGTATAGGCCAAGATTTTGATCTTTATTGCAAATTTGCTTCATATTTTAAAGTTTGTGGATTTCATTCATTATTTCGTACATCAATATTCTCAGTAACAGTATTGGACACAAATTCCAGAAGTATGTCAAACAGAATAGAATATATTTTCATTCAGGCACAATGAAAATATTCAGTTTTCTCTAATACTACTGAAAGTACAGTAATGTAACCATTTAGCAGACATTAGCAAAGGGAGAAATGAGCGTTTTGAGTTTTATTCTTTTTTAACGCATACTTATTTTATCCATATTTTGTTGATTTTACCTACTGATTATTTTAATATGTTTTGTATTTCTGTTTTATAGTTCTTCTATGGGGGCCATTCCACATCCAGCAGCATGTATTCATCCAGGTCTATGGTAATCTATCATTCAGAAACTTAAAATCTCTCTTTTCCCTTACTATGGAGAGGCACATAGCTAAGATCAACTGGCCTTAATTTCTCAAGATATTGTAATGTTTTTCTTTACAGTGAAAGTCATACAAATTATTAATTACAAATTAAGCTTTTATGATGTATTATATACATCATGTGATTGGAATTACAGGGCATGTAGATTTTCCAGTAACAAAAGCTAGAAAAGGGACAAAATTGTATAAAGTAACAGTTTATGCTCCCTATTAATCTGTACACTTTCTTTAATTAGTAATATTGGTTGTAATGCTATCAGAGAAATGAATCCCAGAATATATAATCTAAATTTATTTTATTAAAATTTATTTTTTTATTAAAATGATTCATTATGTGAACTCATAATTTGCCACGTGCTTATAAAATTAAACAGTAGAAAATGAGTTTCTATTAATTAAATAAAAAATATTTTCACATTTGGCACAGGGATAAATTGACATAATCTCTTTCCACATACAAAGATGCAATTATCTAAATACTAAAATCAAATAAGAATCAGAAACTATTATAATACCTAATTCCATGAGCACAAGGGCAATCTCAGAGGTCTAAACCCAAAATATGTATATAATCCTTTTAAAATGTGATTTAATATAACTATTATTACATTTCGTAATGCCAAATTACATAATAATAAATCCAGTGTGAATGGTCAGTCTGGGTCAATCTGAAATTCTACTGATATGAGAGAAGAATACTTTATTTTTCTTTCCCAATTCCTTCCTTTCCATCAGAAAAGAAATTGTATTGGAATAGGCTTTCACCTAGATTGAAACATTGATTTGCAATGATTTATTAGTAGAAGAATTTTAGCAATTTTAGGTACAAACAAAAAAATCCCAGTACTTAGGGCTATAATTGCTTCAGTGCTGGCACATAAGGTGTCTCGGTGTCGGCTCTGCTGAATAGCTTTTTCAGTGTACATAGTCCTCAACAAAACTGCTTTGCTCAACGACTGCAACCCCAGGACTACCAGTTGTGGTCATTAAGTAGTTGCATAAGATGTTAAGCAGAGTGCAGGAGTGCCTCATGGGTTGGGGGAGTCCTTGGGAGACCCGATGCAGGCTACAAGACCCACTAATATGTGGAAACCTGCCACAGCCCTGGACCTGGTCCCTATCCCTCCATGCCTGGGGAGCAGATCCCTGAGGAGCTAAAATCCATGGACAGGCAGCTCTTTGAGCTAGTTCCCAGACACAAGAGGGAATCTTTTCAGCAGGTGGTAGTGGCTTGCCACATTCTCTGCTGGTTTCCCCATTAACTTTCTGGGGAAGACAGCAGAGAAGATTGCAAATAGTGATCATGTGATCATGGGGCACTTAGCAGGCAGTTTTAAGTATGAACAGGTTCCTAGCACCTAGAGCACTTTCATGTGAGTGGCAAAAGAGTTGGCGTGATGTTTTCCACTGGTTGGAAGTACTTTACAGGTTGTAAAGCACCCTTTCTGAGGCTGCCTGTCAGATGCCTATCTTTGCTTTCTTTGACGTTCACTAGCAACTGCCATAACCAAGGGGGAGGGAGCATTTGGAGGGGAAGAGTGCTGGAAGTATGAAAGAATGTTGTGGGAATTTGAGGGACTATGGACAATAACAGGAACCAGCGGTGTCAAACCAAGCCATCTTCCTGCCTCCAAGGATGCCGGCTCCGGGAAAGGAATTTACAGCAGCGTCTAAGACACCAGGTTCCCAAAACATTGGAACAGAGCCTGACTGGACTACTCTCACAGGGGAGGGTTTTGGACATAGGGACTTGCTTTCAATATATGCTTTTCGTACAGTTTTTCTTTAGAGCTTGCCTAGCTCATGCTGCACTCAGCATCTCTAGTAAAAGTACCTTTTCTCTAACACCTATGGAGTCAAGGGTCATTCAGGGAGCAGGCTTTAGCTAGTCTGACACTGCCATTATTTCAAAACATTGTTAAGCGAATGGTTGTACTTCAAGGACTATTTATATCTGACAGCATATATCAGGGGTGTCACACTCATAACATCACGTGACGTGTCGCGACATATTGTGACTTTTTTCCATTGCTGGCAATGGGGTGGGCACGGTTTCAGCATGATGCATCCGGCCTGCGGGCCAGCAATTTGACACCCCTGGCATATATCATTCAAATGATTTTAGTGGGTTGGGGATAGATTTGTTTCCTTCTTCTCTGATCTAGGTTTAAATAGAATTAACATAGATCAGTAATTCAATTCTCAAAGCATAACACTATACATCAGAATAAATCAGCCTTGCAAAGCATGAGGTTTTTCATAGGATATTTTTATATTTCTGAGGAAGTGTGCAGAGATGAGATAGTTGCAACATCTGCAAATTATTCATTGTTCTATCTAGCCCAGTGTAACCCATTGATTGGCAGCATCTGTCCAGGCTCTGATGCAAGAGTTTTCAAATGCTACTGGAGATGCCAGATAATACTATCAAAACCTTTATTTTGATTCCTTATAAATGATATAGTTAACATATATGTTCTGACATTTTGCATATTGTAGTAAACCTATCAAGAAGTTTACTTTATGGTTGACTATTTAATACCTGATGGTATAGTCCATATCCAGGTACTCTGATAACAGTCACCGTATGGGATAGTGTAAAATTGGTCATGAGACTTTGAGCTTGAGCTATCAGATTTTCTCAAGGTTAACATCTGTGGAGGAGAAAATCATTTACTATATATCATCTTGAATTCTTGGAGGAAAGGTGGGCTGAATATTAAACTAAATAAAGAAGATTTTATTTTCATTTCCAAAATATACTAAAAGTTGTCTAAGTGATCATTCTGCCTTTACTTGAAGTGAATTTAGAAGTTTTTGCTTCTTAAAATTATGATTTTATGTATGAAGATCCATATCTGTAATAGTTGTATAAGAACATTTTAGTATGTGACATTTATCCAATATGCCTTTTCCTACAACTTCCAAATACTCAGGAGTTCTGTCTCATCAGCTTGATTATTTTCACTGGCAATGTTTAAAATCATTTAATAGAATTGCATTAAGGATTTTACTGTGTATCTAGAATAATGTTTTATCGGTTGAAATGATTCTTTTGTACTTATTTCAATTGTATTTTAAATATTCAATAAATTATCATTATATATATTAAAGAAACAAAGAACTGAAACTGATCGACCTGTCTTAATCCTAATTTTACTCTAATCTTCTCCAACACAGTGCCATCAAGATGTATTGGATTACCATGCCCATCATCCATATCCCAGCATGGCCAATGGCTATGCTGTCTGATAATGATAAAGATTTCAATCCAAAACATTTGGAGGGGACTGAAGTGGAGAAGAATTTTTAAGTAAAGCAAACTACTCTTCTATCACTTCCAGGAGGAGATTTCATAATAATAAAATTTGATAGTTGTGTCAAATTTTATAATAAATTTGACACAACTATCAAAAATGCTTCTTTTGTTTGCTCCTGAAGCATGGATGGTATCTTAAAGAAAATCTAGAAAAATATGCTGTGTCAAATGCGGCCGCTCTAAAAGGTCCTTAACTGAGATCTGAGATGTAATGCAAATTCTAACAATGGAAACCAAACTTCTTTTTTCTTTCTGCCATTACAAATTCTGTGAAACATTTTGAAAAATATTGTTGATTTATATTGTTGTGAGCTGGCTGGGGAATTCTGGGAGTTGAAGTACACACTGCTTAAAGTTGCTGAGGTTGAAAAACATTGGTCTAAGCTAAGTAAGGCTAGTTGGTGTAGCACAGCACCTAAAGAATGTATCCTTAGAAATTGTATTCTCCAGCGGGCCAGAGTTCTTCATAAAATGCCTGAAGACCTTAGTTTAGCATACATAATACAAAAAATATATACATTTATAATCAATATTGTATCTAGTTAAATGAATGTAATATTTTGTAATTAATGTGCTGATATATGTTTATCATGATATAATTGCTTCATTATTGGAAGCTCATCAAAACTTAACTTAGGAATGGCAACTGAGGTATAAATTACCTCACAAAAGAATCTCTCCCGATTCAGTAAAGGGGAGATTGTAGAAATTAATAAATGTTTTATTTCAATTTTGCATTCAATATGCAGAATTGAGCATTTTACGGCACCTGGACCTCATCCAACCCTTTGGCTATCCATGTCCAGTGTGTGGTCAATTGGAAATCAGAAATCAAACATAAATAAGCATGCTACAGGGGGTGAGAGAAGAAGTCAAGTTGAGTCCGGCTCTGTGCAGTCGCTGTGCACTCCTTCAGTCAGCTGGCGGTCTCAGGAGGGCAAGGAGAGAAAGTGCTTTTCTGTACCTGGCAATGCTCATCCCTCTCCTGGCGCAGACTGTGGAGGTGGCAGTGTTCATCATGTGAGGGGATCCAGGCTCTGGCACCTACAGCCACCTCAGTTGAAGTGTGGCCTTAGGGTGAGTGGGGGGACCACAATTAGGAGATATTGGTTTGGCCTTCCATAACAATCCCAGTTCCTCTTGTGAACCCTTGGAAAAATTAATTGCCCACCCGTGGCCTTTTCTTAGGCACAGAAACCAACTTTTTTCTTTTTGTCCAACCTACCTCACATTGTTGTGGGGGAAATAGTTGAAGGGAGCATTATGTATGCTGTCTAGAGTTAGACAAAGTAAAAGCAGGATATAAATCTAAGAAATAAATAAGCCTCAGTCCTTTATTATCCTTGGTGAGGCACACTTTATTCTGCTCATGCAAAGCAATAGGTGGCGGAATAGCACAATAATCCCCAAAAATAGGTTATGGAAAAAAGCATTTTAAATAATTAACTTCTCCATTTTTGTGCTGATTGTCCATTTCAATAAATGCATAGTATAGAATAGGGTAACAGATAGACCTTTGAAATACAAGGATGTTAGTCACTGGTCAGAATAGATGTTTTGTTCTTAACCGTCACATTCTCATAACTAATTAAAGTATGTGAGCTGTTTAAATATTTTAAATAAAGTACAGTTTAATTTTGCTAATTTATATACAGTTAATAAAGCTATGTTAGCTTTGAAATGTTAGCTTACATGAGCACATCTGCTATTACTGTAATTATATCAGCCACATTGGTTTTCAGGTTTCTGAATGAGGCTGGGGGGGGGAGTTATGGTGGTTTTAATAAAATGTCCATGTCTTTTCATATAACCAGCAATCTCATTATCTAGCTTGATGGGGCTATAAATATTAGATCTATATTGTGGACATAGCTCCTCATTCAACGTTGCCAACAAATGTTCAAGAAATTCTTGACAGATTTTAAAAAAGAAAGGCATATGAAAAAAAAAAGATTGCATTAACAAGAGAAAATAGGCTGGGCATGCACTGAAGATATGAGGACAGGAATGGCTTCTACAAGCATTCTTTCTTTGGGGCATCAGAGAGGTGTTTCTGAGAAATTGGTGTTTCTGTTGCCTTACGGGATTAATTTTGTCTTTTCTACAGAGATGCAGTAGCCCATCTTCTCCTACTAGTACATCATCCCTAACTGGGTCAGTTGGACACTTTATTAGCTGGGGTGACCGACAAGGGCAGTGGCTTCGCAGGAGACGGCTTGATGGTGCCATTAATAGAGTCCCTGTGGGTTTCTATCAGAAAGTGTGGAAGATTCTTCAGAAGGTAATTGGAAAAAGCCAGAAGGCAGAACAATGTTGCTTGATAATACTGCCATGTGAATTTAATGTGCATTGTTACATTTGGAATCTAGCTACTTGGTTTAAAAAACCTTAAAACAGTCAGTGAAATTTCTGGCTAAACTTATTATATTGAAATATTTTGAAATGTGTTTTCAAGTAGTTATGAATAAAATAAGGATACTTGATTTTTTATTTAAAAATTCAGTGTTCATTAAAATAGAAAATATATATTTTCTGAAAATATTTTCAGAATATTTTTTTCCTTTTGAGTTTTTTTTTTAAATCTATGGTACATCCTTGTTTGAATTAGATAGAACTCATTCAAGCATTTGTAGGTATACCAAATCACAATTTTAAATTGCTTTCACCAGAGTTATTTTGATCCCTAACACTTTCACACATTTAAAAAAAATCTTGATCATTCAAAAAATGCAAAGTAAGGTTAAATGTAAAAAGTTAAGAGTCAAAACTTTCCCCTTTTTACAATAAATGGAGGAGAGGCAAAATACACAGTATAATGGAGAACCATTTGACAGCAATAAGCTCCTTAAAATGACAGATGTCTTTTTTTTAAAAAAAAAACACCTTTTATTAGTTTTTTAATTCTTAAACAAAAGTACTCAGGACACACCGTGGTGTTTGGGTAATCAAACAATCAATAATAAAACCATATATAAATAACTCAACTCAATACAATCAATGTACCCTCTCTATTTCCCTCAAATAGCATAGTACATTTAAAATGTTCCATTTCTAATTTAAATTTCTATAACTGCTAAACCTGTTTTAAAACTTTGTAAGTTTACAATTGCCATAATCAATTTTAACTTTAAATCAACAAATTATCAATTCAGGTTTCCCATTCAAATATATTCTAATTCTTAATTTTTCATATCCCTCATTTTATCACAAGTCTCATTCATTTCTTCTTCCACTACACAATACATATCATAATTAAGATAAAATATTAATCTACCCTATACATATATAATCCATCAATCGATCAATCTCTTTAACATAACAAAATAATATTAAGCCTTAACTCATTTCAATTCATTAAACAAAATTCAAATTTCATCCAATTGATTATCATGCCTTATCACATCTAAGTTATCATACAAAAACATCATCTTACTAATTTAAAACATTCAATTAATTATTGAAACAATCCAAATCTAAAAAGCCAATGTTTTTTCCATTCCAATACATAATGATTTTCATGAAAATAAATCTATTATTCCAAAAAGTACATTCTTAATCTATTTAAGACATCTGTTCTAATAATCACCCTCCTATTTTTTTTTCTTACTTCTAACTCTGAATCTTAATCCTTAAAACTGTCCATACATCAACATTGCCTTTTAATCCATTACACAATTTTAAATTTCTCTTTTCAGTCTTATTCTGGCTTTTTTTCTGTGCCAGGCAGGTTTCCATAACCAAGCTTCCCTTTCTGCCAGTAGATCTCTCTTTGCTTGTAGTGCCCTTTGAAATGATAGGAGTCCATCTTCTGCATTAGGCAGCTATTTCTCTCATCCTCAAAGCTTTGTTGCTTTAAAGATTCCAGTCTCAATCTTTGATTCTTCTGATCCTCAAAGTTGTAGATGGAATTTTTATAAGATAAAATAGATTCCTCTTTTATCTCAGTTGTTTCCTCTTCTAATATGTTTTGATTTATAGAATGGTCAGATGTAGTCTGGAGATCAGTTTGAAGGTTTGATGTGAGACTTCTGGATCTTAATTCTGTAGTAAACTCTTTCATTGTAGCACATATTTCTGCAGTAGCCTCATAAATCTTTTCCAATATAAGTTTGCAGTTTAATTGTAGATGAGCTTTCTCCATTTTGATAGTAATTAAAGAGAGTCTCTCTTTTTTTCTTGTGGAGGCTGTATTTAATAAAAGTTAAGCAGTAAAAATGACAGATGTCTTAATGAGAACTTAATGAAACAAATGAAATGACGTGTTTGTTTGACAAACTTCTCAGGGTAAAATTGCATATTTAGCAGAATTAACTGAAAATACTCCTGTTTATTCTGGTTACCCTTTCTGTTCTAAAATATTTGGTGCTTGCTAATTTTTTATAAAAAATAATTCCACTAAAATTATCATGATTTTATTATTCGTGCAAAATATCAACTTCTTAATACTCTTAGTGCCATAAAGAGCAAGTAAAATTTGTTTTATAGACAAAATGTGACAAAAAGAGAGAAGCTGGTTTTGTGTTTCAAAAACTATGCTTTTCATGGAGAATTCCAGATTCAATGCTCTAGTTACATCAGATACTAGCACTTAGCTAAATTTGATTGACTCCCTCCCCCTCCCCAAAAGGATCCAATCTTATTAGCACTTGGATTACAGACCACCAAAAAACCCAAAGGCTGTAGGCTAAGCTAAGAAATCCAAGAAACATTCCAGAAGAATTTATGGCAAGCTCTTTTCCGAAAAAAACTGAATTGAGATGCCCATGCCCACCTTCTAGTCTGATATGAAAATGTTTTCTTTGAAAGTTATACTAAATCAGTGTTAAATTTGTTGGTGATATTAACTAATACTAGAAAGAACGTAAATCAACCTCCATCTTAACAAATTCCTGTAATTAATTTGTTTATTTATAGTTGGTTTATATTTTTTTATAGTAAAGCAGTGTTGTTTTTGTAGTGTCATGGACTGTCCATTGATGGGTATGTCCTTCCATCTTCAACCACAAGGGAGGTAAGAGAAATTTTCATTTTATTATAGAGACTATGGTACAAGGAAGCCTAGTATAGCATGAGATAAAATGAAATAATACCTAATAGTATTGGTGCTTGCAGTTAATAGCAAGGTTTGCTAATATTGAAAAGTGTGTGTCTCTGAATCTTACTCAGTCCATTATTTACCTATTTAGGATTAGGAGGGCAAGTGAAAAAAAAATGATTGGTTCCAAGCACATTGATTGATGACAACTGTCTCTTGAAACAATAGCATGGTAATTTTTTAAGGTTAGCACTCAATGTACCTAAAGAACCATCTCTCTTTTTTGAATTATTCAGTTGATTCTTGAGCAGAAACTAGTAAGTTGTGAATAAATAAATTAAACCTTAGAATCCAACCCTAGTCATATTATTTTAGATAGATTTATCTCCACACAGGTGCAACAATAGTTACACATAGATATGAAGCAATTTTTTTTCTTAAGGTTATGTCATAAAACTAAAATGTATTAACATTTTATTTTATTTAGTAAGATATAAAAAACTTGCAGTGCATTTCATCCACAATAATTTGGCATTTTCTATTTTTACTACTGCTGTGTTTTCTGCCCTTGGAAAAAAATTGAGTTTCTTTCCTTTGCCTGCTACTTACTGAGGAGAAGGGGAAAAAAGAGGCAGGGAGGAGAATCCATTGCCAGCTGTATGCTTTGAGCAGCTCAGTTCTTGCCAAGGGTTCTTAATTATGGCTTCGTGGCAAATGCTAATTTTAGCGATGATATTTATTTGCTTAGTTTTTAGCAAGAAAAATGGAAAGTTGGTTGTTGTCTAGGGTCATAGTCTTGTGGAAAACGGAAGGACTTACAAATTCCAGAGGGTTTTAGCAGAGAGATTTATTGCACAGGTTCAGAAGCAGTAGCAACAGCAATTCTGAACCCCAAGGGCGGGTTCAGACTTCAGTTTTATACTTTCCCTTTCTCAGGAACAAAGGAATACACATTGTAATACACATTGTAATACATTAGGTTCATTTCTCATGGGTATACAATGGAGTTTGCTACATAGATTGTATCCAAGTGCAATGCACATTAGGTTAGTCACATACTACTAACACAGCATTATTCCAGTAATTATGCACACACATCATTATTCTAGTGATTGTTTATTATTCCACATTAATAGAAGCATTTTTAATGCTAGTAAAATACTAGTAAAATACAAACCATTATAATATCAAGGGAAAGGGGAAAACATAGCAATGGATGGACAATAAGGAAGAATCTATGTATATTGTGACAGTGAAAATATACTATATATAATGAATATACAAAAAAGGAAAAAAATTAAAGAAAAAAAGAAGATCCAGTAGTATCCATTTAGAATCAATACAGAATTAACTTAATCCTTAAGCTTATGTGGAAACATTGCTTCATCTAATTATTTTCAGAAGGTAAAGGCTTTAAAAAAATATAACTGTCTGTTATCCTGAATCACTTCCTTAGTGTCAGAGAAATAGGTATCCTTCCATTTATATTAGATTATCCACTTTGTCAAGCTGTAGGCTCAATAGAGCCAAAGTTCTACATAAAATAGAAATTCTGTATGTTAGAAATATAGTTTACTATCTTATATCTTTAAATAGTATATTTATTTCCAAAATGATCTTAATATGCTTTATGATTTGAAATCAAAACTAATCTATAGCTAGAAAAGACCAATCGTATGAGTTAAAGAACCCTCAAATTTCTCACAATACTAGCACACAAAAAAAAGAAAAGAAAGAAAGAAAGAAATCTGGTCCACTTCTTTTAAAAAATATTTTTGAAGGTGCCAAGTATTTCTAGATGAATATTATACCTGGGCATACTACTCCTGTCTTGTAAGCAATAGACAGGACTCTGCTCAAAAAATGTCCAAATGCAATGTCACTGTTTACAATTTTAAATGGTTTCTGTATTTTTTCTTTTGTAACTCCATTTTAACTTAAAAAAAAAAAAAGAAGTGAGCAGCTTCTTGCTAGAAGTATATCTGTCTACCCTTCCTGACCCACTGATGTCTGTTGCCTCTTTCCTAAATAGAGTAGCAATGTACATAAGGTACACTCTATGCCTGTTTCTTTTCAACCAATCATACTTTAGATGGAGCAGGAATCCACCAAGGGGCAAAAGTAATTTCCAGCTATTATATACCAGGGTGCTAGTTTATTTGTACACTTGCAAAAAAAAAAAGAACTAAAAACAGTGTTGCGCTTTGGCATCTTTCTTGTCTTGGTAATATAATTGTGTGAGAAGATTTGAAAATCCTGGAATCAGTTTAATAGGCCTGTCAGAACTTGACAGAATTCAATTTTGTTCTGTAACAGGAATCAAACCTAGTAAGTCCAAGAACTCCTTAGCCTAAATGATTCCATGTGAAATTTCCATATTTTTCTGACACAAATGAGATTGCTTGGTTTTGCTTGCAGTGATGAGATGGTTGTGTTCTGACAGTATTCTGGCAATACGCTCCATGTATTTGATTTTGAGGTTGTTTCTCCTTTCTCCTCTCCCTATAAATATAAATATACATCACAAACTAATTTTAGTTCTTTTTTTAAGTATTTGTGTTTTTTTATGGAAATGCTCCAAAATAAATTTTACTGATTCATCATAGCCCTTCCCCTGGTGTCTTTTTGTATAAGAGATGATGCAATAGAGTCACTTGCAGAAATTTTTGTAGAACACATCCTAATATAAACCCAGTTCTCAATTACCCTGAGACTGCAGGAGACTTATATATAGCCCTCACACTATCTAAAGTAAGTGAAATCTGCAAGAATGAAAGTTGCAGCTGTATACAAATCTGTGCTCTATGAATGCCATACTTTCCCAGGTTTCTTCTTCTCAAAAAAGATAGTGTTTGTATCTCTTTCTGTTCACATATACATATATGGTACCTATTCAACATGAAAAGCACCACATACTGTATATCCTTAGGTTTTTGCTAAAATTGGAATTATGCTTAGAGTATATGGGATGCAGATCATCTATGCCAACCGGCTTGTCTGCTTCCTGGAATCTAAGGTACTTTCAAATGCAATTCTAGTATCACTGACATTTAAACATTATTTTAGAAGTTTCAGTGATGCCATTCTTGTTAATCTTATTCTCTTTTCCCCTTTTTCCTACCAATATCATATTTTCTTAATAGATGACTCCTTGTGAAATTAAGTTTGCTGTCCATGTGGAATCAGTGCTGAACCATGTACCCCAGCCCGAATACAGACAGTTATTAGTGGAGGCCATCCTTGTACTGACCCTATTGTCAGAAATAGATGTGAACAGCATTGGGGGTATAATTCATGTGGATCGGATTGTGCACATAGCAAATGACCTCTTCCTTCAGGAACAGGTAGGTGTAATGGAGGATTTCCTCTTACCTAAAGAGACTTCTAAATGTGTGAGCTGTAGAATATGGAAGGATTCTTGGGTAGGAAGTCCATAGTAGAGTCCCCATTTTTATATACCCTACTTGCTCACTGTTAATACCCATTTGCTTGCTCAATCCTGAGGGCAATGTACAGAGAGATGACTTATTGGCAGCTGCTTTTCTTGCTTGCATTCTCTCAAGCAAGGCATTTAATGAGACAGTTAAAAGAACAATTGTCAAATATCCTTAATAGGATGTATATTTTAGAAAGGACCCAATTATGGTAAATTTTAATATCAGGCCTTTATTTGGAGCTACATTTGTGCTCTGCATTACATCAAAAATCCCTAGTAGCTTTATCAGTACATTTGCTCTTGTTTATCTATATTATATAATGGATTTTGTGGGAATCACCTAAGTAGAACAGGTGACGCTACAAAATATCATAGGCAAATCATATATGCATGTTTGATTGGGATATTTTTTTTCTGGATTCTTTTGAGATAATAGAGCAAGCCTCCCTGACTTCTGTGACTAGCTTATTTGTGACTGGTTTGTTTTAGAGCTTCCATTTATTTGTTTGTTTGTTTTATGATCCCAGTATCACAGGTTCCCTGTTTCTCACATGCAGAAAAAAGTTGGATTTAATTTTGCATTTAGATCTTATTCAGTTAAATTATTCTTGCATTCTAGTTCTATGACCATATTTATAGTTCATTCACCACTGATTGTTGAAAAAATACACCCTTCTCTTAAGCAGATCATTGTAATCATTTTGGTTTAAACTTTTCCTATTTAACTTTTTCCCAAATAAATTTGTTTTTATGATCTGTAAACCCTGTTTGAATTCTCTTTCTGTATTGACTTGTGGATTGTGGCTTATTTTCTTGGCTTTTTCCTTCTATTGATGTAATTTCTGAAAAAGAAAAATCCGCATGCAGATTTATTCCTTCCTTCTTCAGCCTGAGTTTCACTGACTATTTTTATTATTATAAAATAACTAAATGATAAATGAATATCTTATCAACCATATTGTGTTCTCTCTGTTATTCCATCTGCTCCACACTAGATTTTTTCTCTCTTTATGACCTTATAATCCCTTAATTTGGGATAGAAACAGGTGACTGAACAGAGCTGAGCGTTTATTGGCCGAATTCCCTTCTTGACACCTGCATGGAGTTTGCAGCAGATACTTTCTCTTTGCACCCTGAAAGAGAAACATCTGCTGCTACCTAGGATTGAACTCTCAACCTTCCAAGTGGGAGGCGACCATTTTTACCACTAGGCCACCACGCTGCTCTCTGCTCCACACTAGATTATCAGTTTACTTTAAAAATTAGAATTAAAGGACTTCCTGTGGATCAAGCAGCTACGATGGCTACTTTTCACAAAGCAGCCTGTTCCTGGGTTGTGTAAAAGCCGCAGGACTTTTACAATCAGCTGTCCTGTGGCTTGAATCTCTTCCCTGGGAGAAAGGGAAGAGAAGAGCTGCTCAGGTAGAGGTAAGAGCTCCCCTGGATCCCCATAATTTCAGGGATCGGAGGGTAGAGCTCCCTCGGAGCCTGAGCCAACTCCGCACTCCAGGACGTCTTTGTCCTGAAGTTCTGGGATGAAGCAAGGCGCCGCTCCCACATCTGCTTTTTTTGGAGGCTTGTGAGTATTCAAATACAGACGGAGCAGACCAGGAGAAAGTGGATTTAAGATTTATTGTGACTTTAACTCCTGTAAGCATCTTCCCCCTCTTTTTTTTGTTTACTTTCCCTTTTGAAGAAAGGGAAAGTGAAAGGCAAAATGGCTATTGTCTTTCTTGTTTGATCTGCATTACAAAGTTAAAATCCGGATACAGACTAATGCTTTAAATATAGAAGCAAGAATTTGTCTTTTTATTTCTTGTTCTTTCTTTTTTCTCTGTAATCTTTTTTCTTTTTTAAGGAATATTTAAAAGAACTGTGATTTTTTCTTTTCCTTTTTTTTTTAAACAAGAATCTTTCTTCTTAGAACTTAATGAAAATGGCTTCAAAACATCTGCCTCCTCCTCCTAAAGCTACTATCTCTTCCCCAATGACCCAGCCTGTTTCCCAGAAACCAAAATCACCTCCACCCTATCCTCCTCCTGCAATTTCTCTTAAAGATTTACAAGAAGCTTTAAAAAAGCATGCTTTGGATATTAAGGAGGAAGTAAAAGATCTTATAATTGCAGAGAGGGCTGTTACAGAAGAACTATTGGAGACAAAAAATAAGCAAATTAGAGAAGACATACTTTTTGCCTTCCAGGGCCTTGCTCTGCACATAGAGAGGATTGACGACAGAATCGAGGAGATTACTGAAAATGCAACAAGAATGGAATTTAGGATGGAGGAGGTAGAGAATAAGATAGAAATCACACAGGATGAACAAATCATGTCACAATATAGAGAGATGGAGTATGCATTGCGTATCAGGGGGCTGAGAGAGAATCCTCAGGAGGACTTAAAGATGCTTATTGTGAAAGATATCGCTCTTAATCTGGGCTGGAGGCCTGAAATAATCGGGAATGAGATAGAAAAATTTTTTAGAGTCAACTCACGGGTTGCTAGACAGAGAAACTTACCAAGAGACGTCTACTTTTCTAGAAGATTTACTCGTAATGAAATTATACAGGCTTTTTACAAACAAAAGTTTCAAATTGCAGATCAAGATGTGATAATTTTAAAAGAAATACCTCCCAAAATTTTAAGAGGCAGAAAAGACTTTGCTTTTCTGTCTGATGAGTTAAAGCATCGTCAAATCCAGTTTAGATGGGAGATTCCAAGAGGAATAATAGTGAATTATGAGGGGATACGTCATAGATTAACTACAGTTCTGAAGGCAAGAGATTTTTATCATTCTATTTTAAAGGCAAGATCATCTTCACCCCCACAAACAAGGATAATGGAAGAGCCTGTTATGGCAGGAGCCTCATCAATGATGGTTATGGAACAAGCTGTACAGAATTTTGAGATAAAAGAACAAAGGATGACACGAGCTTCCCATAAACGTAAAGAAAAAGAGCAGCAGCAGAAGAGTGGAGATAAATTGAAGGCATGGTTATTACAGAGCCTGTGGGAGGGGCAAGACCCAAAAGATCTTCGATAGTGAATCTGCAGGCCATGCTCCAGAGGCTCCAAGCCGGTGGAGATGGCCAGGCTCCTGACCTGGAATGTTAATGGCTTAAATGTGCCACAGAAACGAAGAAAGGTTTTCCATTATTTGAAACAACACAACAATGATTTGATATGTCTGCAAGAGACTCATATAACTTTAAAGGACTCCAAACTTTTGATGAATCCTCGTTTGGGTTCATATTTCATTGCTCCAGCTCCAGGGAAAAAAGGGGGAGTGGTAATTTACGTGAAGAAAAATTTTCCATCTAAATTAATTGAGACTGACTCTGAAGGAAGATATCTTTTTGTGGAATTATCATTACAAGGTAAAAAAATTCTTATTGTTGGATTATATGCTCCTAATCAGCAACAGAAACAATTTTATAAGTTTTTGCATGGGAAGATGTCCCAGTTGGATTATAAATCTGTAATCTTGATGGGTGACTGGAATGGGGTTCTAGATTCAACTATAGATAAAAGGAGCTCTTCTAAAACTTTTACCCAAACTAGGTTACCTAAAACTTTTTTTGATTTGAAAGAAGAATTGGAGCTTATTGATATTTGGCGAGAAACAAATACAAGTGATAGAGATTTCACTTTTTATTCGGATAGACATCAATCATTCTCAAGAATTGACTTTTTCTTGATTACTAGTGACCTTCTTTCTAGAGTGAGGAAGGTGAAAATTTTTCCCAGAACTTTGTCAGATCACAGTCCGGTGTGGATGGAATTACATTTGGAAGATGGGAATAGAAGACCCTGGAGATTGAATGAGAATTTGTTTACTCGGGAAGAGTTTGTACAAAAATGTAAAGAGCATTTAAAGGACTTTTTTGCTATAAACATGAATAAGGGAACATCGATGTCCATGGTTTGGGATGCCAGTAAGGCATATATGAGGGGAATTTTGATTCAATTGAATAAGGTTTTTAGGGAAAAGGGGTTAAAAAGACGTAGAGAAATAGAAGAAGAGATTAAATTAAAAGAACAAGAGTTTGTTCTTAATCCAACTGACAATAATTTAAAGGTATCTATAAAGATGCTTAAGGAACAATTTAATATGTTGATGGCAGATCAGGTGGCTACTAATCTGTCGTACATGAGACATAATACTTTCTGTAATGCGAATAAGCCTGGGAGGTGGTTGGCTTATCAGTTATGAAAGAAACAGAAAGCTAGAATTATAGAGAAAGTAAAATATAAAGGTACTGAGGTTTTTCAGCAAAATTTGATCCAAAAGAGTTTTTTAGATTTTTATACAAAATTATATTCAAGTGATAACATAAAGGGTGTGGATATAGACAAATACTTACAATCTGTGCATTTTCCTAAACTTTCAGAGGAACAACAAAATAGGATGAATAGATTAATTACTGTGGAGGAAATTGGTTTAGCTATTAAGCAGTTAAAGGTTGGAAAATCTCCGTGAACAGATGGATTGACTTCGAGGTATTATAAGACTTTATCTGAACAAATGATGGAGCCTCTAAAGGAACTTTTTAATAGTATTATGTTGGGTACACAAGTGCCTCCTTCTTGGAAAAGAGCCTTTATATCACTGATTCCAAAGGAAGATCAGGATCTTACAGAGCCTAAGAATTATAGGCCAATTTCATTATTAAATGTTGATTATAAGATTTTTACAAAAATTTTGGCAAACAGATTAATGCAGGTTATGAAGGACTTGATTCATAATGACCAAGCAGGATTTATAACAGGGCAATATATGAAATATAATATTAGACAAATTATAAATTTAATTGAATACTTGGATAAGAATAATCAGATTCCTGTGGCTTTTATCTTTTTGGATGCTGAAAAAGCCTTTGATCAATTAGATTGGAAATTTCTATTTTCATTGGTAGAGAAAATGAATTTTGGGGATAATTTTTTACATGCACTTAAAGCTATATATCAGCAACAATCCGCACAAATCGTTGTAAATGGGGGATTGACTGAGAATTTTAATATTGAAAAAGGGACAAGACAAGGATGCCCATTATCCCCATTGTTATTTGTTTTAACATTGGAAATTTTATTGATTCAGATTCGAGAATCAAAGGTAGTTAAGGGCGTAAAGATAAGGAAGAATGAGTATAAATTGCGGGCTTTTGCGGATGATTTGGTCTTAATTTTGGAACAACTGAATCAAGCGATTGATTGTTTATTAGAACTTATAACACAGTATGGGAATGTCTCTGGTTTTAAAGTCAATAATTATAAGACTAAGATATTATCTAAGAATATGTTAGTTAAGGATAGGGAAAGTTTGGTCAAAGCCACAGGTTTTCAGATGGTAAAAAAGGTTAAATATTTGGGAGTATATTTAACCGCTTCAAATGGAAAATTGTATAAGAATAATTATGAACCATTATGGGGAAAAGTACAAAAGGACTTAAAAGACTGGAAAAAAACTGCAATTGTCATTGTTGGGGAGAATTTCAGCTGTAAAAATGAATGTTCTACCAAAGTTCCTTTTTTTGTTTCAGATGATACCTATTTTAAAAAAAGAGGCAAATTTGGATGAATGGCAAAGGGGTATCAACAATTTTATATGGGCCGGAAAGAAATCAAGGGTTAAGTTTAAGATTTTACAGGATGGTCGAGAAAGAGGAGGACTTAAGGCACCCAACTTGAAATTATATTATGATGCAGCCGCTTTAACTTGGTTAAGTGATTGGCTCAACTTAACAAATAAGGATATTCTGTTTTTGGAAGGTTGGGACTTAATATATGATTGGCATGCATATCTGATTTTCAATAAGAAAGTTGATCGGATTTTTAAATTACATATTTTGAGGAATGCCTTACTTCGTGTTTGGAAAAAGTATTATTACAGATTGAATTATAAAATACCTATCTGGGGGATTCCCAGACATGCAATTGAGGGAATTTCTAAGGGGACAAATTTCGATAAAATGTCGTATAAAGAATTGTTAATTTGGTCTGGTTCGAATTGGCATTTGAAATCCCTAGATGTATTAAGGCAAGAAAATACTCTACAGTCATGGTTTCAATACTTACAAATAGTGGATAGATGGACTGTAGATAAGAAAGAGGGAATAACATTAGAAGATAAACAATTGGTTATTCAGATTAAAAATCAGAGTCAGGCCCATATAAAAAGAATTTACAATGTTTTATTAGAGTTAGACTCGGAAACAGAATTGGTTAAAGACTGTATGATTAAATGGGCTCAAAATATACAGGAACCGATTTCATTGGATTTATGGGAGACAATTTGGACTAGAAATGTTAAATTTACACAAGCTCAAAATTTGAGAGAAAATTTTTATAAAATGTTTTATAGATGGCATTTAGATCCTAAAAAATTATCTTGTATGTATCCTAACATACAGCCCAAATGTTGGAGATGTGGCAATAAAGATGCGACATATTTTCATATTTGGTGGAATTGTAAAAAGGTAAAGGCATTTTGGATTATGATTTGGTGGAACATTCAAAAGATTTTTAGAAGGAAGATAAAGTTCACTCCTCAACTATTTTTATTGGGTATCTTTGTGGATTTAAATGATAAAGAAACTATTTTGATGTTGAATTTATTAACTGCCGCAAGGTTATTAATAGGTTTATATTGGAAGAAAGATTCTTTGCCTACTTTAGAAGAATGGGTATTTAAAGTATCTAGTTTTGCAGAGATGGCAAAAATTTCTGCCTATTTAAAGGATCATACACAAGAAAGATATATCACTGTATGGAGAAGATGGATAGATTATATTCAGAAAAAGTAGGGAACTAAAAAGTTTCACTTATTTTATGAATGAATATTATAGTAAATATTACAGAGAATTGTCTTATAGGCTATTGGAGTTAAAGGTTAAGTATGATATTTTTTTTCCTTTTTTTATTATTATTTTTTCTTTTCTTTTTCTTTTCTTTTTTCTTATTATTATAAATCCTTTTAATTATTAACCCTGTATTCTGCTCTGGGAAGTGAAAGGAGGGGGGTTGGGGGTGGGAGGGAGGAAATGTGGGGGGGTAAGTGTAATGTAGATAATGGTTGCTTATAGGGGTGGGGCCTGGGCACTCCCCTTATGCTGCGTTCGTGGGTTTGATAGGGATGAGAGGTGGGCAAGTGTAGAGAGGAAGTAGGGTAGTGAGAGGAGAAGGGGAGGGGAAGAGAGTAGGATGGGAGGTGAGAAAGAGGAGGGAAGTAGGGAATGTCTTAAGAGAGGGTGGACACGGCCTGGGGCGAGTGTGCAGGTCGTAATAATGTTTATTTTATCTTAAAATTGTATTGTATACTTTTTTTATAATGTTTATATGGAAAAAATAAAAAACTTTCATTAAAAAAAATTAGAATTAAAAATCACTGTTTTAAATACTGGGCAGTAGAATTGGCACTCCTTTATTACCACCATACAAACTCATGATCAGCTAATTACAAAAAAGGCAAAGCAGGGGTGGCCACTCCAGTCAACAACCTTGTATCTGCATAGTGCTGACCAATGAGGGTAAATATAGTTAAAGGAGGCCAGCTATCTTGGGTAGTGCAGGTACTTGTTATTTATTCCTTGCTACAGCCTTCCAGAACTCTGGTCACTAGTGGCTGAATCACAGGGAATAGGGGGAAAGGATATATTTTAATGACTGAAATGCAGAGAGACTCCTATGGGATTTAGGACTAGTGCTGCTCGTGGTAGTAGAGAAACAGGGGTCACATAATCCTTTTCTTTACTTTTCTCCTGGCTACCCACAATTAACACAGCCTGCAGGTACCACCGGCTGACAACATTTGTCTTAAGGTTAACTGGACTCTACTTACATTCTTGGTGTTTGCTGTATAATTTCCTATTGTAGCATTCTCTCTTGCTATTTTAAAGTGCATGACTCACCTTTGCCTTGCAGTGGCTGTCAGCACTTGAGCAAACTCATATTGACTTTGATTGACTCTCAATTGACAACGTACTATAGAATTGGAGGGAAAATATGACTGACCCTCATACAATAAATCTGCATGCATACAGGTCTCAGCAGCTCATTCAAGATTGAGGAGCAGCCCCTTTTGGAAATTAAAGCTGATGAACTCCTACTCTGAAAAACAATGCTTTAAGCTATTTGACCATTCAACTGAGGATTGTTTTATGTTTACATACCTGTTTCTCTTCACTTTTTTCCCCAGAAATCCCTCGGAGCAGCTGATGGCTTCTTGGAACAAGATGTAGGCACAGGTATCTGCTACTTTTTCTATGACAGTGCTCCAAGTGGTGCTTATGGAACCATGACTTATTTAACAAAAGCAGTAGCTAGTTATCTCCATGAATTTCTTCCAAGCACAGGCTGCTTGATGCAGTAAACTGTCCAAAATACAAGCATCCATTCTTAAAGGATTTTTCCTATAATCATAATTTTTTGAGGCCACAGTGGCTAGGACTTCTGGAAGTTGAGTCCCACTACATCAGGAGACTGCTGGGGAAGGCTGCCTGTAGCTCCTCCTGCTACCTCAACATTACCTGCATCGTTTTATTATTAACATAAAGCCTCAGTTTGGAAGCAAGACCAAAGGCACAATTCTGTGCAGATCTGCAGAGCATTGTCTGGATCATCTTGGACTCAGGTATCTGCAATTAATCATTGTCTTATTGGTGCAGGGGAAAAAAAGCTAAATTTAATTTCAAGGGAGAGAAGTAGCTTTATAGTATGCACATGTGCACACACAGAGACACATAGAAACCTGCTTCAAGTTTTGAATTTTGCATTGTTGGTTTAATTTAAGCATATCAATGTTAGATTCTAATTGTGATCAGCTCTTCATTGTCATAATAAAATGAGTCCTATTCATAATAAAATGAGTCCTAAAGCTAGCATGAATCTAAGCTGAAATTAATGGGGAAAATTCCATGGAGAGGAATGGCATAATGAGAAATGGGTACTTAAGAATTTGAGAATACTGAAGCAGTGAAGTCTAAAAGATAATGCAGTGAAAAAGGAAGCATTTCTAGCTAGCAAACCCATGGATAGAACATCTGCCCCAATCTGATCATTGGTTGAACAGCTAATGTATGCTTTAAGACAGGGGTCCCCAACCCCTAGTCCATGGACTGGTACTTGGCCGTGGCATACCAGCAACTGGGCTATACAAACAAGCAAAGCCCCATCTGCAGGATGCAGGCAGCACACAAAACCACACCCCTCCAGTCGGCGGAAAAACCTTAGGGCTGGACCCTTGGGCTAGTCGCTCTCTCTCTCAGCCTGGAAAGAAGACAATGGCAAACTACTTCTGACAATCCTGGAGACAGAGGGGGGCAGGGGGAGAGGGAGAGGGAGAGAGAGAAAGAGAGGGAAAGAGAGAGAGGGGAGGGAAGAGAGAGAAGCTTTCTGGGAGTGCTTGCTGATTCTGCTAATTGTTCACATATTGTAAACTGGGAGGACAACTAGTGATTGAAGTGCTCTGTTTTCAATTTTTTGTACGGAGGGAGATCTTAAAGATGATTTAAATTGTTCCTCAGATAGCGTACATGTATTTATAGAAAGATTTCAGATTAAGCATCAGAAAAATGTTTGCCACTTGGCAGGTAGTTTATAATATAAAAGTCAGAGTAGGAAATTGTTACAACATGGCAGGTCTTTTATACAGAAAAAAAAGTCCAGCAGCTAAGTTACTGCTTTATGTAATGTTTATTTAACTATTAAGTGTTGCAAAATAGGTTTGCCTGTTTCTGCTGTCCAAAACATTATTGGGATCAGTCATTTTTTCAGGTTCTTTGTACATTTCCCTCCATTGTGGGACTTTTAAAATTCCATATATAATAATAGCAAAGAAAAATGTCAGATGAACTAAGTTATAGCTGTTAAACATAGCAATTCATTGTTAGTAATGAGAAATTACTTGTAAGACTACCACTGTTAGCTAAAGTACTAGGAACATGTTAAAATAACTGCACTGTTAGTTTTGTATTTTTAAATAGAGTCTCATGTAATAAAGTTATATTTTAAAGTAAGCTGGCCTAAGCAGCATTTAGAATGCTATTCATAATACTGCTATTAATTCACCCCTAGCCCTTCTTTTCTCTAGACTGGCCATATGCAAATTCTGCAACCCTTCTCCATATATTTTTGCCTCTAGGCCCTTAATCATCTTAGTTGCTCTTCTTTGCACTTTTTCCAAAGTCTCAACATTTTTTGTAATGTGGTGACCAAAACTGGATGCAGTATTCCAGATGTGGTCTTGCTAAGGATTTATAAAGTGTTACGGGATTTTGATTCCTCTATGCCTCTGTTTATACAACCAAGGATGGTACTGGCTTTTATGGCGATTGCTGCACACTACTGGCTCATGTTTAAGTGATCATCCACTAGGATTCCAAGGTCCCTCTCACAGTTACTAATTGAGCCTGGTTTTGCCTAATCTGTACTTGTACCTTTGGTTTTTCCTGCCTAGGTGTAAAACCTTGCTTTTCTCCACATTAAATTTCATGTTGTTGGATAGAGCCTGTTGTTCAAGTCTGTCAAGATCTTTTTAGATCGTGAGCTTGTCTTCTGGGGTGTTGGTTATTCCTGCCAGCTTAGTGTCATCTGCAAATTTGATGAATTCTCCTTCTATTCCTTCATCTAAGTCATTTATGAAGATATTGAAGTGTGCTGGGCCTAAGAGGAAACCTTGTGATATCCCACTACTTACTTGCCTCCATGTAGATGTAATACCATTAAGGTATACTTGTTGAGAACAATCTGTCAGCCAGTTACAAATCCATCTGGTGGTGATGCTGTCTATCCCATATTTTTCTAGTTTACCAAGAAATAGATTGTGGACTACTTTTGTCAAATGCCTTGCTGAAATCTAAGTATATTATGTCCACAGTATTTTGCTTGTCTACTAATTTAGTCACTTTGTCAAAGAAAGAAATAAGATTGGTTTGGTATGATCTGTTTTTAACAAACCCATGCTGGTTACTAGTTATAACTTTATTTGTTTCTAGATGTTCACAGATCTGTTTTTGGGTTATTTTTTCTAGTATCTTCCCAAAGGGTGTTTGATCCAGAGGCAGAATACAGGGAGTTTGCAAATGCATCATTGTATATATACAACTGTAATTTGTTATAGAATTATATCCATGAAACTTAGTTGTGTGACAATTCAAAAATAAAATGACCCAGATAAATTGAAAAAAGGTATTTAATAATTAAGAGGAAAAGAATTATTGTAAATCTTGCCATGGGGAGATAAGATAAATTATTATATAAGGGTATACTTTATTAGAAAGGATATTGTTGTATATCTTAGATATTCACAAAATAGAATTATTTCTCTTGGATGTTTCAACTTAAATAAAGCTTATCTACCCACAAATGCTAAGAGTTTTCAAGTGAAACAATCTGTGCTTCAGAGTGTATTGGAAAAGAGATAAGAAAAACAATTGGTGTCATTTCCTAGTATCTATAACACTGAGGAATGAATGGACTTTGCTATCTGAAGGACAGATGATGGGGCAAAATGTACTGCTGATATATTTACCATGTGTGATAGAAGATCAAGAACTTAACTGGCCCTGTAAATTACAAGCATGGCTACACTATTTTGTTTCTGAGCATAGAAGTCACAGGGTACTAGTGGGGGGTTCCTCATTAGAGGAGATAATGATCACTTTCCTGTGCATGGTTTGTCTGCTGTGCTTGTCGTCCTGTCCAGGTAGCTCTTTGGTGTCTCTCATTCAAAAGATACATGAAACTGCAGGAAGATTCCTCAGCAAGCCAGACTTGGCTATTTGGAGGAGTAGTCTCTTTCTTGTAATATGATCATAAACAACCATTATTAACCAACCAAACTCAAATATTGCAAACCCAGACAAAAACAATAAACAAAATCAATTATCTCCAAGAAGCTATACAGTATGTCTAAACTGGAAGAAATTCTGGATTTCTGCTTAAAGAACTGAAGCTACTTTAATAACAAAAGCACGTTAATAGGTCATATTAGTGCTTATGAAAGGACTATGTGTCTTTATTTTGATTAATATATGTGTGATTTGACAGTGTATATTAAGTTATTTTGTTAATGGATTATGTAATAAAGGCTAAGATGAAATTTTGTGCTTTCAAATGTATGTATCTTAAGAGAACAGTCAATATTTATTTATTTATTTATTATATTTATATGGCTCCCCATTTAACGAAGCAGTTCTGGATGATGTACACCAATCAATAAAATAACAAATATAAAAAATAAACAAAAAATGAAAAGCACTATAAAAAAATATACAAACCATCCAGAGAAAGTAAAAAAGATCAACCACATTGGAGGCATCTAAAATGTCTTTGGTTCCCTGGGACCCCAGGGCCTGGTGACATAAACAGCTCTTGAGGGTTGTGCAAAATAAAAGGGATGGAGCTAACCTGAGGTTCAAAGGGAAGAATGTTCCATAGGGACAGCATCATGGCAGAGAAGGCCCACTTCCTGGGATCCACAAAATGTAGGTCCCTGCAATATGCCTTTTTTGCCAGACCTAATTGGGAAGAGGTGGTCCCTCATAATTCAGCCCCTTGCAATGAAGGGGCAGTTAAAACTAGCACTTTGAATTGGACCCAGAACAGACTGGCAACCAATGGACTTATAAAGTAGAGGTGTAATATGTGCTCTTCTGGGAGCAAACATAACAGTCTGTGGCACTGCATTCAGTGGAAGATTCTGGATACTCTTCAAGGGCAGCCCCATGTAAAACTCATTACAGTAATCCAATTGTAATGTGTTGAACAGACCATTTACAGCTAAACTCTACTACCTTAGGTTAACTATACAAGAGCATTCACAAGCAAGAATTAGCAGCATTTTATTATTCCCTACCATAAGAGAAACTTACATTTATTAAATGAGGGAAAATAATATCTTTACATACTGGAGGCACAAGCTTTTCATATTTTGAATATTTGATTGTTAAATATCATTAAATTGCATGTCTTGACATACTCCCACCTCTCAATATGAGATAATCCTGATACTAGCAAAATCAATCTCCTTGGCTCAAATTACAGCCAAGGAGCCATTGGCTTACTAATCTTTGTTCTTTAGTTTAAACTCACTAATGTCAAGGTTTCCATAGCATCAAATAATGGTACTACATTAGTTCAAATGTGCTGGCTGAATTGTAGGTAAGAGAGGAACTAATCACTGCTGCCTTCAAGTTTCAGTGGTAGGTCAATAGAAAAGTCAAATAAGGACATACCTTGCCAAGAGAGTGGTGCATACCATTAAAGCTGGCTGTGAATTGTCCTGGATAATGTTTCACAGCCTCACTTATATGAGAAAAAGAAAATACTCATTTTCTTGTGTAAAGAATTTGGGTACAGCATACATTTCTGCCTGGGAAAGCCAAGGGAAATCATCAAAACAATTAAAAAATGAAAATTAGAATATTTTGGGCGTGTGATGCGACACCCAGAAAAATACAGCATACTCCATTTAATCCTCCAGGGAAAGATTGAAAGCAAACGAGGTCCAGGCAGAAGAAGAACATCGTGGCTTCAAAATCTAAGGGACTGGTTTGGACAAAACTCAGAAGCACTCATGAAGCAGTTTGCTTTCCTCATACTATTATATAGGAATCTAACTTTAAAAATAAACAATGAGTATGTTAGGAGAAGTGAAGGCTGTTTTTCAAATTGAGTGTATTTATTCTCAAGCTATTTGAGAGCATGCAGCTATTCCACCATCATCATAGCAAGGATCTATCTATAATGAATTCGTATTTTTAGAATGCTGACAGTCAGTTCTTTTATTTCTAATCTGTTTTAGGCAACTGGTTTGTCTGGTTGTCAGACACCTGCATAGACTGAAAAATAAGTAAAGCTGTTCCACAAGAAATTACTACCATGTTTTTTCTGAAAATAAGACCTACCCCCAAAATAAGCCCTAGCTTGATTTCCGGGGGTGGATGTAATATAAGCCCTACCCCAAAAATAAGCCCTAGTTTTGGGGCAAGGTGCATGCCTAAAAATCTAGCTAGGGTGGGGGTGGGAGGTAGAGCTGCCCCATGTGCCCTGAACCTGCTTTCCTTACCGGTGTGACCATCACAGCCAGGCCTCCCATGCCCTGATGCCTGTCATGCTGCTGCCCAAGTTCTGTGGCTGCTTGTGACCACATGGCTCTTTGCGCTGACTGCACCGGTTCCTCCATTCATGGCAGGAGGCTGCACGGTGCTTCAGGGTGGTGTTGCTGCTCGTGGCAGGAGGCTGCACTGTGTTTCGGGCCAGTGCTGCCATTCGCAGCAGGAGCCACACAATGCTTCGGGCCGATGCCGCTGCTTGCAGCAGGAGGCCATGTGATTCATACCAGTGCTGCTACTCATGTTAGGCTGTGTAGCACTTTGTGTCCATGCTGCCACTCACATGCGTCAATGTGCTGCGTGACCTGCCATGAGCGGCAGCCCGACCCGAAGTGCTATGTGGCCTGCCGCAAGCGGAAGCACCGGCCCAATTGGCACCATGTGGCATGCAGCCACGAGCAGTGGCACTGCCCCAAAGCATTGCACAGCCCCTTGCTGTGAGCAGTGGCACCGGCCAGAAGCATTATGCAGCCTCCTGCCACGAGCAGCAGCACTGACCCAAAGCACCATGCAGCCTCCTGCCACGAGCAGCGGCTCTAACACTATGTGCCATGTGGTGTCTGGCCGCAAGCAGCAACAAGCAGCTGCTGAAGAAGTCAAGCAGCAGCACAACAGGCATCGGGATGGGAGGCCTGGCTGCAGCAGTCCTAAGATATCCCCCCCCCAAAATAAGACCTGGTGTCTCTTTTGGAAGAAAAAAAAAATATAAGACCGGGTCTTATTTTTGGGAAAACGCGGTAGCTGTAGACTTACTTGGAGCACGGTAAAACAGAAAGCATCTAAAAACTACATTGACACAATAAGCATGTTGGCAGGATCAACTGGCCAAAATTGGCCAGTTCATTTATCAGCTGAAATGGCTGTGGTTATGAAGAAGGACCTGCCTATACTACTTCTTTGAAATGATTGGGAAAAAATTGTCTTGATTTGAGCCAGAATAGTATTTTTTCATCAGACACTTAATTTCAAATGCAGCTCAACAAAGTTTTCCTATACAGTAGAAATGAATTTATTTTCCAGAGGTAATAGAACATTAAAATACATTCATATTTATTTTATCCTACATTTTAAAAGAAAAATATTGAATATGAAGCAAATGTTTGTCAGAGGCTTTTGTAATAGAAAAAGGAACAAGACAGGGATGCCCGTTGTCTCCGTTATTGTTTGTTTTAACACTGGAAATTTTGTTGATTAAAATTCGGGAGTCTCAAGAAATAAAAGGAATAGAAATTAATAAAAAAGAATATAAATTAAGAGCCTTTGCAGATGACTTGGTTGTTACTTTGTCTCAACCTGTTTCTTCGGTGGTGAAATTATTACAATTGATTCAACAATATGGACGTGTTTCTGGCTTTAAAATTAATAATAATAAGACCAAAATATTAGCTAAAAACATGACTAATGGTGATAAACAGGCTCTAGTTAACTTAACAGACTTTGAAATTGTTGATAAGGTAAAATATTTGGGGGTTACATTATCTGCTTCTAATGTAAAATTGTATAAAAATAATTATGAAAAGCTGTGGATGGAGGTACAGAAGGATTTAAAAAACTGGAATAATTTACAGTTATCCCTTATGGGCAGAATTGCAGTTATTAAAATGAATGTCCTGCCAAAGTTTATTTTTTTGTTTCAAATGTTACCTATTTTAAAGAACGAACGTAATTTAGATGAATGGCAAAAAGGTATTAATAAATTTGTTTGGGCAGGGAAAAAACCAAGGGTGAAACTTAAAATAATGCAAGATTTTCGTGAGAGAGGTGGACTCAAGGTACCAAATATGAAATTGTATTATGATGCTGTAGTATTGACATTGATTAGCGACTGGGTGAATTTAACAAATACAGAAATACTTCATTTGGAAGGCTGGGACCTACTTTTTGGATGGCATGCCTATTTAATATTTAATAAAAAAGTGGATTGGGTTTTTAAGTCTCATATTATAAGAAACTCTTTGCTAAGAGTGTGGAGAAAGTATTATAAAAGTGACTTCAAAATACCATTATGGGCTATACCTCGGCATGCCATAGAAGGTATAAGGAAAGGGGTAAATATGGACAAGGTCTCTTACGTACAGTTACTAAGATGGGATGGCCAAGACTGGCAGTTAAAATCTTTGGAAGAATTAACACATGAAAACTTAACTTATTCATGGTTCCAATATAGACAAATAGTGGATAGATGGAAGATGGATTGTAAAATGGGCTGGCTTAGAGAAGATGAAATTTTTTTAAAACAAGTAAGAGATCAAAGGCCAACCCATATTAAGAGAGTTTATGGGGTTTTAGTGGAATTAGATTCAGAACTTGAACTAGTTAAAGATTGTATGATTAAATGGGCACAGAATATTGGTGAAACGATTTCAATGGATACTTGGGAACTTATTTGGATAAGAAATGTTAAATTCACACAAGCGCAAAATTTAAGAGAGAATTTTTATAAGATGTTTTATAGATGGCACCTTGACCCAAAGAAAATGTCCATTATGTACCCTAATCTACAGCCGAAATGCTGGAGATGTGGATATTTGGATGCTACCTATTACCATATTTGGTGGACGTGTAAGCATATAAAAGCTTTTTGGATTAAGATATGGTGGAATATTCAAAGAATTTTTAAAAGGAGGGTAAAATTTACTCCGCAATTATTTTTACTAGGTATTGTTATTGACTGTGATGCTAAGGAGGTTATATTGATGTTAAATTTGATTACAGCCGCTAGGTTGTTAATAGGACAATATTGGAAGAAGGAATCTTTGCCTACTTTACAAGAATGGTTTCATAAAGTTTCGTATTTGGCAGAAATGGCAAAGATTTCGGCTTTCTTAAAGGAGCAATCTCAAGAAAAATTTTTTGCGGTATGGGAAAAATGGATAAATTTTATACAACAAAATCTGGATATGGAAAAATATTATTTAGCCTTTTTATAATTTGTAATGATTGTTTTTTCTTTCTTTCTTTCTTCTTTTTCTTTTTTATATATATACATTTTTTACCTATTATTATTCATATATTTTTTTTTCTTTTTTTTATATATATATATGCTTTATTTTTCGTCTACTTTCTTCTTTCTTCTTTCTCTCTCTCTCTTCCTTTTTTATTTTTTTTTTCTTTTTTAGTATATATTATTCATTTTAAAGTTTATGTTATGTATATTATTATTATATATATTATTACTGTGATTTTTATTATTATTATTAATTATTTTATAAATTGCAAATGTTATTTTTAAAATATTTGTTAAATAATCCTATATTCAGTTCTGGGAAGTCGGGGGGGGGGTGGGGTGGTTGGGGAGGGGGGGGTGGATTCTTATTTGTAAAACTTTTGAAAAATTTCAATAAAAAAAAAAAAAAAAGCAAATGTCTGAAATGCAAAAACCTATTGTAGGACAGACAAAGAATTTTATTCCTCTAGTTTTGGATAAGTGCTTTTTTACACTTGTTTTGCTACTATTTCAGCATTTCACTAAGTAATGTCGCAATATAACAACATCAAAGTGGAGATTAGTCCAGATATACCAAACTCCCTTGAAAAATCCAAGGGGGCAGTTGAAAGTGGTTTTCCATTCATGGTTTTATATCAAAGACAATATGTAATGAAAGAAACATGATAAACTATGTTAATGTAATTATCACTTTGTGGAAACATCTTCTCTAATGTACAAACAAACATTGCCTCATCTTAATATATATAGAAAAATATACTTTATTTTGCCTATGCCAGGATGAGAGGCCACTCCATTTCAGGTGGCCACGATGAAGTTTAAAGTTTCTGAGTGGCTCCCTATGATTAACCGTAGGGGTTCTGTAGCTAGTCTGGCTGGGATACCCTCTGCGATGGACCGTCAAGTTGGCAGAAGGAGATGGGGGTTCTTAATCTCCTTAACTGGACCCTATTTCTCAACCAGGGCTGGGCTGACCAGGCATCTGGGTGCAACCTGGGTCTAAAAGGGCAGTCAGGATTACTTTCTTTCTCAGCCTGGAATGTAACAGTTCTATGGGCATGGTCATCGGTGCAATCGGCCCACTTACCAATGGGTCAGGTCTCGGAATGCCGAGAATGCCAGGTCTCAGAACTCCTCTGTGTACTCTGCCATTGGTCAACACCCCGCCTCACAGTCTTGATTCGGTCCTGTGCCTTCCAATCAGCCAGACGGTCTTCGAACATCTCAGCGGCATGAAACAATTAAAGTTTCGGAGCCCTGGCGCATTGCAGTTGTGTGGGGTAACCATTCACCAAGCTGTGGTTCCTTCCAGGACTAGGATGACATCCCTGACTCCGGCCTCCTCACTGGGGAGGGTTCTCCCATACACTTGCATGTAGATGAACACATGGACCAGGAAGAAGCCCAGTTGCTGGGGGTCTCCATCAAATTTCACTGGAACCAGTTTTGGTTCCTCCGGTGGGGCTCTCCCTCTAGGGGCTGGTGAAATGTTCCCTCCTCCGGGGGCTGTAGGCTGCTGTGCCACCAGGGTGGCCATTATCATTTTTGTAGATTCAATTGGCCCCGCCGAGCTTCAGCAACTCCTGACTCACTCCCCCCGCACTTGGTTTCTTCCAGTTGATCCTTCCTTTTGCTCCTGCATCGCCTGGACTTTGTCTTTAGGTCCTGAAAGGCTTCCACCATATATTGCATGGTTTGCTTCAGGATCTAGTCCATTGACTCCTGCTCTCCTTTGGATTTGTCCCTGTCATCGGAGAGCAGCTCCATCTCCCACTTCCAGCCTTTCTTCCGGCTGCCTCGGGTGAATGTTACTTGCTGGACCTTTTCTTCCCACTCTCCTCTCTTCCCTACTCCAACCGACCATCTTGGCTTCATGGAGCTTTCTGCATTTACATTTCTTCCGTCTATCCGGAGGAGCTTTCTTCTAGGTGGGTCTCTCCCCAACACTCCGTCTCGTCTTGTTCTCTGCCATGGAAGGATATGATGTGCATGGTCCCCACGGTAAGGTGGTTGCCTATCTGGATTGACCTTTTTTTTGCAGAACTTGTTTAATGTAAAGTCCTGTCTCAACTATTCCTCCCAAGAAAGCAGAACTCTTGAAACAGGCATTGTTTCAGAAGGAACTTTTATTGAGAGATAGTGATAGCAAGGAAACAAAACAAGATCTAACAGTTTCCTGCACAAATTGCTATATTAAAACTTTTGTTTCACAAAACCCCAACTCAGAGCCCAACTGTCCAGTTCACATCCAGCCAATCCACATGTGCAAAGTTGTTATGGGAACTGGAGCTAATAAGGGATGGTTTCCAGACACTTCACCACATCTCACAAGGGATTGAAGATAAGGCAGATGGCCCCTGACACATTCCATTCCCCTTTTCACACCCAAAGAGATAGATCAAAGTTGAGGAAGAACAAAGTAGAGGAAGTACAGCCACAAGGCCCCCTCCCATCAGAGAAAATCCTCCCCCTCCTAGTAGAATGGGAGACCCCCAAAAAGAAGCATTGAAGGGGTTTCTGACAAACAGTCTGTTTTACCAATGTTTTCCTGGCCTTGAGCTTGCATAATCAGATTCAGTGGGCTACTGGATAATGATACTTCAAATTCACATGCATATTTCACAATGAAATAATCACATAAAAGCTAAATGCAGAAGAAATCTAGCCATAAAACCAGCTATAAAGCCTGTGAAAGTAAAGTTCATTCAATCTTTATGATCTAAGTTTTATATATATGGTTTATCATTATTACTTGTAATAATTTGCTATACAAAAACATGCTGTCTTTGGAAAGATACATAACTTAACCCTATGACGGTACATAACTTAACCCTATAACTGTTTTGTTTAATGGTTTGCCTCCAGAAGTTCTGTGAGCTCCATCACTGGAGGTTTTTAAGAAGAGATTGGACAGCCTTTTGTCTGACTAGAAGATACCCAATGTTCTTTCTTACTCTGTTATTCTGTAATTCTGTATAATAATAAAGTATATCAACCACTGACAGTATTTCCTCTGTCACTGCTAGAGAGATAATGTCATAAAATGTTTCAGCAGTGTTTGAAGTCAAAACTCAAGTGAGATCCAAAATGGCATTAATGCCTCTAGTATTCCTTTTTCACAGAGTAAGTATAGATATTATTTATTATGTTCTTCATTTTTCTATTTTGGAAATTAAAGTGGTGCTCAGATATCTACCCTCCAGATATT